TAAGGCTCATGCCGCACAGCTTAGCACAGCGCTAGTGGGGTTCTTCAGCAAGCCGCTTCGTGAGGAAATCTGCCGGCTGCTGCTTTGTCTTCACATAGGGGGGCTGGATTGATCCCCTCTGCACCTCCTTCCGCAGCCAATGCCATTTGATCTGCATGTGCTTGGTGAGCCCATGCAGCACAGCATTCTTGGACATTGCAATGGCACTGGAATTGTCACAAAACAGCGGTGTGGCAGTCTTCTGCTCATGCCCTATCTCCTCCAGCAGCTTCCTCAGCCATATCAGCTCCTTGGCTGCATGGTACATTGACATGTACTCTGCTTCAGCTGATGAACCCTCCGTTTCGACCTGTTTCTTTGACCTCCAGCTCACGGGCCCACCACCAATCACGCACACATATCCTCCCACTGAAGACATGTCCTCCTTTTCCGAAGCCCAAGTTGCATCAGCAAACCCCGTGAGGAATAACTCTCTCTCCCCAAGTTGCTCCCCCTTCTCCTTGAGAACCTCTGCTCCCTTCTGCTTCATCTGAGCCACGGCTGAGTGTTGAACTCCAACGGTGGGGTAGGAGTTTAGGTACTGGATGATACGGTCTGCTGCATCCACCTGCTCCTCGGTGGGATTTTGCACCACCCTGGCCAGTTGCCCCACAGCAAAGGAGACGTCTGGCGTGGTATGCACTGCTGCATAGAGCAAGCTTCCCACCATGGACTGAAAACGAGCCTGCTCCCCTGATCCACTCCTTCATTCTCACCAGCTTTTATGAGTTTAAATCCGGATGGAAGAGGTGTGGTGATCTTCCTTCCGACCTCTATCTCATACTTACTCCCCATGTCATTGATGTACTTCTACTGGTGCAGCTTCACCCATCCATTGCTGACATCCCTCTCGATGTGCATCCCCAGGTAGTAGTTCGCCTCCCCCAGGGTCTTGCACTTGAAATTTTGCATCAGCTTCTACTGCACCTTCATCACCTCCTGCTTGCTGCTCCCAGACAAGAGGATGTCGTCCACGTACACCAGGAACATGACAAGGCTCTCCTTCTCCCCCATGAGGAAAAGGCCCTCGTCACATGCACTCGCCCTGAAGCCTATCTCCTCTAAGACCGAAGACAGCTTCTTGTACTAGCAGCGTGGTGCTTGTTTGAGGCCGTAGATGGCCTTCTTCAGCTTGCACACGCGCCCCGTGCCATCCTCATAACCTGGCGGCTGTGACATGAACACCTCCACATCTATCAGCCCATAGAGGAAGGCTGTGGTGATGTCCATATGAACTATCACCCACACACACACGGCTGCACCGGCGAGGAGAACATACAGAGTTGGTGACTTAGCAGTTGCAGCGAAGGTCTCCTTGAAATCCTCCCTTTCTTTCTACTGATAACCCCTTGCCACCAGCCTGCTTTTTTAAACTGACACCGCTCCTTTGTTGTCAGTTTTGATCCTTGGAATCCAGCCACAGCTTATGGCTTTCTTCCCCTCCGGCAGTGGCACCAGCTCCCATGTCCCATTCTCCATTTGGCTGTTGTATTCAGCATCTCTTGATGCCAACCACTTGTCCCGGCCTGGTCCGTTAAGGGCTTCTTCCATGGTCAGTGGCTGAGTTGGTGCAGGTGCCATAAAACAGTAGACTTCTTCTTCAGCTTCCTCATCAGAGTCACAGCTGCTTTGAAGCACCAGTAAGGCATCAGGTTGCTGCTGCTCTCCCCTTGCTCCTTTGTAGTCTCTCAGCTTCAATGCGGCTGCTCGCATCTGCCTTTCAATCATGGGTGAAAGACTACGGCCTGTGGGAGGGGATTTGGTTTGGGTCCTTCTTTGGGGAAGGGTGGGAGGAAGCACACGAGTTATGGGGTGAGGTTCTTCAGGTACAGCCTTTGGTTCCACGTCCTTGACCACAGGAAGCTCTGCTGCACCCTCCTCTTCAGGTGCCGCTGCGCCTTCCGCTTATACCCACTCCTCCGCATCAAACCCCATCGTTGTTTGCTCCAGCTGCTGCATGAATTTCTCTTTCGGCTGCTTGGACCAGCTGCCATAGGTGATGTCCTCCATGAATTTGACATCTCTGCTGTCAAACACCACTCCTTTGATCGGCTCCCACAGCAGCCACCCCTTGCTTTCCGCTGCCAACCCCAAGTGCACACACTACACAGCCGTTGCACCCAACTTGTTGCGATGTGCCTTGGGGATATGGGCCACAGCCATGCAGCCAAACACACGCAGCTTGTCAATGGGCGGCTTCCTCCCAAGCCACCTCTCCATGGGGACCCAAGACTCACCACCAACGTTGGTGAACACCCTGTTCTTGACCACCGTGGCGTGGCGCACAGCATGTGGCCACTTTGGGTTCCCTAACCCCGACTCAATGAGAAGTGCACGTGCCGTTTCTAACACCATGCGGTTTGCCCTTTCCGCTATGCCGTTGGACTGTGGAGTGTAAGAGGTTGTGAGCTCTCAAATGATGCCCTGCTTCTTCAGCCATGCAGTCAATTCTTCCCCAAGGAACTCCCCACCCCTATCAGTCCTGATCCGCTTCACCTTGTGCCCGGATTGTTTCTCCACGAATGGCAGCCATTCATCGCGTATGGTGGACGGCACATGGTCCTTCTTCTTGATGGGGTATGTCCAGGTAACTCGGCTCCAATCATCCACGATGGTGAGAAAGTACTTCTCCCCACGCTCCCCCACAACCGGTAGCGGCCCCACCACATCCATGTGCACCAGCTCTAGCAATTTCTCCGCCACCCTCGGTTGCATGGAACGGGAACCGAGTGAACTTGCTCAGCAAGCAAGTTTCACACTTGTGGGTTGTTGCTGCACCTGTCAGCTTCAGTCCCTTAACTCCTTCCTCCTTTTGCAGTTGCTGTAGTGCGGGCATTGCAATGTGCCCGAGGCGACGGTGAGCTGTCATCCAATCTGTTTCACTGCTCCTAGCTGAAACTTTCAGCTCCTCTGCAGCTACAGCGTTGCACTCCCCCTCAGATCCACCCTCTTTGCCCCATGTCATCACAGGAAGCTGCCACATGGAGTTGCAGATGTCATGGCTCTCGTGAAGATCCCACAACACCCGCTTTCCCAGCTGCCCCGTGAATGTCTTGGCTCCTTCGGTGGAGGTGCTGACCCCGCACTTGCCTAGTTTCCTGAGGGAGATCAGGTTAGCTTTAAGGTCAGGGACAAGAAGCACATCACTCAGCACCACTGGTTTGCCATCGGCTCCTTTGAATGCAGCACGTCCCACCCCCGTCACCTTGAGAGCATGCCCGGATGCCGACTTCACCTTCGCAATCGGTGCAGTCCCCACTTTGTCAAGGAGGTCGGCCCTTGGAGTCATGGTCCATGCCGCTCCTGTATCCAGAATCCACGTGTTGAGCGGGTGCAGTGCAGCTCCAGCATGGGCGGCCACTGCGTCCTTATCCGGCTCTCCAACGTGGAAGAACTGTCCGGCCTCCCTCTCCTCTTGTTCGGCCGGTTCATCATCGGCAACTGCTCCGGCGCCGCTCCCATCTTGTGTCCTATTGGAGGGGGTCCACCAGGTGGGTTTAGTCCTGCATTTGAACCACGGGTGGCCCACTTTCTCACAATACCAGCACTTGCCCTCCATTCTCCCCGGTCCCCTTCCTCCCCCTCTGCCGCCTTGGCCGCCACCGCGTCTTGCTCCTCTTCCGCCTTGCTGGGTGGAGGGCTCCTCCTCCTTGGACGCTCCTCTCCCAGCCCCTTGCCATTTCTTGCCTCTGCCCCGTTTTCCTCCTTGCATGGCGTAGCTGCTGCTCCCCTCAGTTGGCGCCTCCTGAAGTCCTCCTCGAGAATTTTGGTGCGGATCCACTCCAAGGTCCAGGAGCTCTGGTTTTGAGGAAGGCTCAGGCCGCTTGTGAAGATCATCCATGACTCCGGCAGCAGCGACAACATCTTCATGCATTTGGTTTGTTCGGGGTAGACAATTCCAGCGATGGCGAGCTTGGCGTAGAGGTCTCTCAGCTTGTCAAGGACGGGTTGAACGGGTTCTCCTTGACTGAGGCGAAGGTTGGAGAGCTCCCTCTCCAGCATGAGGGTAGCAACAACTAATGTGGGGGCGTGTAGATCCTTGAGCACTCTCCATGCCTTGGGTCCACACTCTTCCTCCGAGAGAAGGTGCATTATATGTTGGCGGTGGGCAAGGTCCAGGCTCTGTGAAAGAATGTAATATCCAGCTGATGAACGTTCATCCTGAGAAAATGTGAACGAGAATGATTGAACTATGAAAGAGTTGGGTACAAGTACTAACCCTAATTGGGTTGTACCCCATATGTGCTACCCCACTATAGCCAACACAATATGCATAAGCTATAATGTTCTGACACACCCCCATAGGCAAAGTGGGGGAGAACAAGGGGTCACAAGACCAGTCAAGCAAAGCAAAGCAAAGCAAGCTCAGGGTGGATCACAAAGTCACCACACATTCTGAGCACAAGTGCAAGGCCACAAGGCCAGTTCACATGCAGGAGTACATATACATAAAGGACTAGACAAGCAAGAGCAGGAGTATATATATGCAACAGTACAAGCAAGGTCAAGAGGTGAGCAAGTGAGGCAAGACAGGCACAAGACCCAGCTGCGTGCAGAAGCGCTGATGATCACAAGGCGCAAGTGCCTTGGTGAAGACATCAGCAGTGTTGGCCTCAGAGGCCACGTACGCAAGCCGCATCTGACCACGCTGCTGTAGCTCACGAGCAAGGACGTAGCGAAGAGCAATGTGCTTTGTTCTGTGCTCCAGTCTCTGCACTCGACACAAGGCCAGCATGGCCTTGTTGTCTACGTACAGGACTGGAGGAGAACGAGGCGACTCTCCAAGGTCGGTCAGCAGGTAGGTGAGCCAGCGAAGCTCCTGTGCAGCCATGGCCCCGGCGTAGATCTCAGCCTCACAACTGGAGCCGAGAACAGAAGACGAGCGAGTAGCCCGCGACGAAACAGAGCCGGAACCAAGGCTGAAGGTGTAACCCTGTGACGACCGCTGCGTAGCCTGGTCGTCAGCCCAAGAAACGTCCGCGTGCCCAGTGAGGACCACTGGACTCCGCCCTCCAAGCACTAGCCCCATGCCCGACGTACTGCCCAAGTAGCGCAGCACCCTCTTCGCTGCTGCCATGTGCTCTGGTCGGTGTCTCTCAGGAGCAACATAGCGTGCAAGAATGCTAAGAGGGTATGCAAGGTCAGGTCGTGTGCAGGTCATCAGGCACATGAGGCAGCCAACAAGCTCTAAATACGGGCCACTCGACTCTACGGACTCATCCGAAGGCAGAGCTGAGAGTGAGTGGCGAGTAGACAGAGGAGTGGCCTGAGGCGAGGAGTACGTGAAGCCGAAGCGCTGAAGGACCTGCTGCACCATGTGTGACTGAGTCAGGGTAATGGTGCGGCGTGCTCTGTCCCGGGTGATCTGCAAGCCAAGGTAGCTACGCAGTTCACCCAGGTCTGTGCACGTGTGTCTCTTCTGCAGCTCGGACTTCACGTAGGCGAGTCCAGCAGTGTCAGCTATGGCAAAGACCAAGTCGTCGACGTACACGAGGATGTAGAACGGCGGCAGAGAGGTGTCGGTGCGTAGAAACAGCGACGGGTCGGCAGTAGAAGGAGCAAACCCAAGAGCCGCAAGTGTAGTCCTCAGTGTGTCGTGCCACTCACGTGGCGCCTGGCAGAGACCGTAGACTAGACGCCGGAGACTCCACTGGGTACCAGGAGGGAAAGACCCAGTGAAGCCAGGTGGGCGGCGCAGCCAGATCTCCTCGTGCAGGCTGCCCTGCAAGAAAGCAGTGCTGAAGTCAAGAGAGTGCAGCTCGCAGTCACGGTGAGCAGCAACATGCAGCAGTACCCGAAGAGTGGTCATCTTCGGGGTGGGGGAGAAGGTCTGAAAGTAGTCAGCTCTCTGCCGCTGACTGAAGCCACGAGCCACGTAACGCGCCTTGAAGACAGGCGAAGAACCCGGCGGCCGCTTCACCCTGAAGATCCACATGCCACTGACGATGTTCGCCCCAGGAGGGGGGACAGCATCAATGTAGGTGCCTGTGGACTTCCAGGAAGCCATCTCTGCATCCATAGCTGCCTGCCACTGAGAGGAGTAGGGACCCTCTATCGCCTCCGCGTAAGAGCGCGGAGTCGGGATGTCAACTGCATCCGGGTCTCCCTCGGGGGTAAGCACTACGGACACGAGATGAGGTGAAGCAGCGGCCAAGCACTGGAACTCCTCCTGCCTGTCCTCAAGGACGTCCGTGCCAAGGGCACACTCACCCCCAACGGACGGAGGACAGACAGACTCAGACTCAGCGACAAGACTAGCAGCGTAGTCTAGGCGACAGCGAGCAGCAAAGTTGACGAGCTCAGTTACAAGGGAGACGCAGCAGTGGACTCGAAAGAAGGGCCAGTGACGACAGTAGCCAGGAGACGCGTGACAGTAGGACTGGCAGCACGAAGAGAGTCCGACTCCGGGTCGGCAAAAGCACGAAGAGAGGACTCTGGAGGAGAAGGCAAAGGGGCACGCAGAGGAGTAGTGGACGGACGCAGAGACATCCGGTGCGTGCCACGGACAGGAGGAGGACGCTAACGCGAACCACGACCACTAGCGCGAGCAGCATGGACAGGCGACGCAGGGCGAGACGCAGGCTCACGACGCTCGGTAAGACCTCCACTAGGACCAGTGTAGGGAGAAGGAGCAGGCAAAGGGGAGGTAGGCTGCAACTGTAACTCAAACGGTACTGGCTGTAGACACTCTAAAGGAGGAGGAGGACCAGTAGAAGGCGGAAGACCAAGAACCTGCTGCAGGAGTGGAACGAAGTACGGTCGAGGCCGCGCGGCGACGCCATACACAGCAGGTACAGCACCGTTTCCCCCAGCAGGAGCACCCGCTCCAGCGGCACCTCCAGCAGCGCCCGAACCTCCAGCAGCACCAGGAGAACCCGCAGCAGGACCGCCAGCAGTGGTCTCAGCTCCAACACCCTCAGCAGCACCAGCTCGAGTCGCACCCGCAGGCCCAGCAGCTCCACTACTCCCAGTACGAGCACCTTCGGGACCTGCGACAGCAGCACCCTCAGTAGCCGAAGTACCTCGAGCACCAGCAGCACGCCTCCAACGCTGGGCAAACCACTCGCGCAGCTCCTGTGGAGAGAGTGGCTCCCGCAGAGACGAAGCACCCGGAGAACCTCCAGGCGGAGCACCTCCAAGCTCAGCACCCCTAGGCTCAGCACACCCAGGCTCAACACCCCCAGGCTCAGCACCCCCAGGCTCAGCACCCCCAGGCTCAGCACCCCCAGTCTCAGCACCCCTAGGCTCAGCACCCCCAGTCTCAGCACCCTCAGGCCCAGCACCCCCAGTCTCAGCACCCCTAGGCTCAGCACCCCTTAGAGTCAGCACCCCCAGGCGCAGCATCCTCAGCAGCACCAAAGTCACCAGTGATCTCGACAGGCTCGACTGCGTCTACCTGGGACACACCTAAAGGACCATGAGGGGGGAGGGGGTCTACCGGAGGGGGATCTGGTACAAGGAAGAGCGGCGGCGGGGGGAGGGACGGAGTGCGGTAGGGGAAGAGCCGGTAGTAGGGGACCGACTCGTCAAACGTGACGTCCTGGGAGGACAGAACACGACGAGAGGTGGGGTGGTAGAACTGCTACCCAGGCGCGTCAGGGGGGAACCCCACGAAGACGCAAGGAGCAGCACGAGGGGACAGCTTGTCCGCAGACAAGTCGCGGACAAACGCCCGAGATCCCCAGACCCGGAACGCCGACGCATCGCCAACCTTCCCCGTCCACAGCAAGGCTGGGGAGGTCTCCGGCCTGGAGACCCTGGGGTGAAGGTTGATCTCATGCGCCGCGTACCTGACCGAAAACGGCCACAGAAAATGGGGGGCAGCCGCATGCATCATAGACGTACGAGCGACGTCCATGACCATGCCAATGCGGCACTCAGCAATCCCATTTTGCTGCAGAAAGTCCGAAAGCGTGAAGGTCTGACGGATGCCTCGTGCGCGACAGTAGGCTCTCAGAAGGCCAGAGGTAAACTCTCCGCCTCTGTCCGAGTGCAGATGCAGAATAGGAAAGTCCGAGCCAAAGCTCTTCCTAAGCTGGAGACGAGCTGCGCGGATCCAGTCGATCAGCACCTCAGTGACATCACCCTTGCTGCGCAAGGGGAAGACTGCGGTGTAACGCGAGTAGTCGTCAACAACGAGCAGGAAGTAGCGCTCGTGACCCTATCCACGGACGCGGGCTGGGCCCCACACGTCCATGTGAAGCGTCTGCAACAGGGCCTCTGTCGGAGGAAACTGGGAGGAGTGAGGGGCAGCACGCTGGCGCCCCTCGACACAGGGGACACAGGCAGGGCCAGGGCCCTGAGGAAGGGGAGGGAGGGACCGGGGGAGACCAGACACAAGAAGACGGGAGGCCATGCCTCTGAGCCGAAGCAGAGAGGGGTGACCAAGGCGGTGGTGCCAGAGGAGAGTCTCGTGAGACAGGAGACGACACGAACAGGGGGCAGACTCAGGACCAGACCTGGACGCTGCAGCAAACACCTGACCCGACGCAGCTACCCTACCAGACTCAGCAACGGGAGGAGACGCAGTGGTCAGTGTGTACAGGCTCGACCCCGGCTGACGGGTAAACGTAGCCAGGTGTCAGCCTGTGCTAGCCTCTGTGCAGTGCGTCACCCGCTGACGCGCAGGATTGAGCTGGTGTACTCTCCCATCCTGCAGGTCAGCACCACTCACCAGGTTCGTAGAGAACGAGGGGAGGTAGAGACCAGACAGGGTGCCAGAGGGAGCCGCAGGACACGGGAGGACTGTGGAGAAGTGAGACAGGACAGGATCCCCAGAGGGGTCAACCAGGGACACCGCAACCGGCCGACTAAGCGGCGTGAGTGTGGTGCGGTCCCGAAAGAAGGAGCGAGAAGCCCCAGAGTCAAGGGTGAAGGTGAGGGAGGCCGAAGCCGACGTAGTACCTGAGAGCGCAGACTCACCAGTACCTGAGGACGCAGATGCACTAGCACCTAGAGCAGCAGCGTCGCAAGCACCTAGGGCAGCCGCCTCACCAGTACCTAGAGCAGCAGTCTCAATGCCCGGATCGGGCGGGAAACACCGGTAACAGTCACCCTCATCACTAATAGACACAGCATACATGGCAGAAAGAATAGCATCAAAATCAAGGTCATAGATGGCAACACCCGCCCTCGCCCCAGCGAGGGATCTCTGTGGCCTCTGGGAACTGGTGACGCCACGCGTCCGTCAGGCGACCAAAGCAGCGCTGGGTGGGGTGCGCACCCCCACACTGCTCACCCGCACGATCGCCGGTGCGCAGGACGTAGGTGCACGGACCAAAACCCCCACCCCGCTGGCGTGCAGTGTACCACTCACGGAGCTGCTGAGGGGACAGGGTCTCACGACCGCGCTGCTGCTGCTCTGCGTAGACCCACGACTAGCTCCACCGTCAACCCCGCCGCCTCCGCCGCCTCCGCTACTACCGCCGCCTCCGCCGCCTCCTCCACCGCCACCACCTCCGCCACCTCCGCTCCCACCGCCACCGCCGCCTCCGCCTCCACTGCCGCCACCGACACCTTCACCCCCACCTCCACTCCCATCGCCACCCCCACTCCCCCCGCCGCCTCCACCTCCACCTCCAACGCTCCCGCTCGCTCCTCCAGTGCCCCTGCCCCCCTTGCCCTTGCCAGAGCGGCGTCTCCCGCTAGGGGCAGACGCCGCATCGACCGACTCAAGACCAAGAAGGTCGGCCGCAGCAGCAGAGGCAACGGAGGGCAGAAGGGGGGAGGGGGAACACCCCTCAAAGATGGGGGTGCGCGGGTCACCACGAGAGGCCCCTACAGCGACTATGCTCTTCTCAGCCGCTAGGAGGGACTTCTCGAGGAGGTCAACAGTGAGAGTGGTGGGACAGACTGAGAGGAAGTGGTCCCTGACTACGCGAAGGGAGTCAGGGAGGCGACTGACTAAGTAGTAGAGAGTGATGTACATGGGGGGGGGGGGTTCTTGGCGCATAAGTCAGCAGGAAGCGCAGCGCGGTAGCGAGTGTCACTAGTGTGGAGGTGCGTAATGAGGTCAGCGACTGTGGGAAAGGCAGCAAGGTCAGGGAAGAGGTACGGTAGCATGAGGCGGCTCAGTGCAGCAGTGGCAGGGGAAGAGTAGCGCGCAACTACAGCGTCGTACAAGGTCTGAGCACTCTTGTACTGACTAAAGTGCGCGCGCTCAGTGGTACGTAGGTGGCGACGCACAGCAAGACGTGCAGCAGCATCGCGAGTGGCCCACTGTGAGCGAACAGTGGCGTCGGCATCAGCACCCGGGGCAGGGGAAGCACCAGAGGCGAGGTCAAAGAGGGAGAGACCGTCTGCCCTATCGCACTATAGGAAAAGCTGCAGGTCATCTACCCAGACGTCAAAGTCAATGGCCCGACCCTCAGCGTCAAAAGCGAGAACACTGGGGGTAACCATGACAGAAGTAGACTAGCAGCGCTAACTGTAGAGCAGGGGCAGTGCGGTGACAGAGGCGCTGCGCTCACCAGACAGGGCGGTCGGGCAGCTCGGGCGGCTCGGCAGTAACTGCGGCTCGGCGGCACCCGCGGCTCGGCTCCTCAGTTGCTCACGCGGCTCGGGCGGCTCGGGCGGCTCGGGCGGCTCGGGCGGCTCGGGCGGCTCGGGCGGCTCAGGTGGCACGAGCGGCTCGGGCGGGGCCGTAGGTAGGGCGACGGGGCCGGGTCGAAGGTAGGGCGACGGGGCCGGTGCGCAGGTAGGGCGACGGGGCCGGGTCGAAGGTAGGGCGACGGGGCCGGGTCGAAGGTAGGGCGACGGGGCCGGTGCGCAGGTAGGGCGACGGGGCCGGGGCTGGGGCGCAGGTAGGGCAACGGGGCCGGGTCGAAGGTAGGGCGACGGGGCCGGGGCCGGGTCGTAGGTAGGGCGACGGGGCCAGGGCCGGGTCGTAGGTGGGGCCGTAGCGGGGCCGTAGTGGGGCCTAAGCGGGGCCGAGGGGGCCGTAGCGGGGCCGTAGCGGGGCCTAAGCGAGGCCGTAGCGGGGCCGACGGGGCCTAAGCGGGGCCGTAGTGGGGCCGACGGGGCCGACGGGGACGACGGGGCCGTAGCGGGGCTGTAGCGGGGCCTAAGTGGGGCCGTAGCGGGGCCGACGGGGCCTAAGCTGGGCCGTAGCGGGGCCGTAGCGGGGCCGACGGGGCCGACGGGGCCGTAGCGGGGCCGTAGTGGGGCCGTAGCGGGGCCTAAGCGGGGCCGTAGCGGGGCCGACGGGGCCTAAGCGGGGCCGTAGCGGGTGGCTCGAGGGGCAGTAAGGGTGGCCAATAGGGGCCACTAAGGCGGCTCGAGGCGCTACTCGGGTTAGGAGCTAAGCGCGCTACGGGCAGGGAAAAAAAAAGTTCGTGGTGGGCCCTAGGAACAGTTCCCACAGGGGAACCTGCTCGATACCATGAGAAAATGTGAACGAGAATGATTGAACTATGAAAGAGTTGGGTACAAGTACTAACCCTAATTGGGTTGTACCCCATATGTGCTACCCCACTATAGCCTACACAATATGCATAAGCTATAATGTTCTGACACATCCCAATCGCCCTGAAGCTCCGGATTGCTGGGGCGCTGTTCACTACCGATCATGACTTTGAGAAGTCCTATCTGCCAAAAATAAAGCTGGATCTTCCAGGACCAGTCGTCGTACCCTTCACCACTGAATTTTTCGACGGTGAAATTCTTCAGCACTTCCCTTAGCAGTGGGCCCTGGTTCGTCCGTGCTCCCCTAGGCGCGGATACTCCGGATTCCTGGCCACCACTGCTCGCGAGGGCTGAGTTCCCTTCTTCACCAGTCTCTCCCATCGTCGGGTACGTCAGGAATGACTAAGGAACAGCTCTGATACCACGTGTTAAGTCTAAGTACTATGCGGAAGCGATTAACTCACTGCCACAAACATACACTAGGCAACACTTAACATCACTTGTGAACCAAGTGAGTAGTTATGCCACGCTTAGCTTGTAGAATGAGTGTTCTGGTTGAGCAGAGTTTCGGCAGAAGTTCGTTGTGTATCTACCCTCGTCAATACGTAGTAGTAGATGGTAAGCTTGAAAATCATAAAAACATTGTTGTGTGGAAAGCAAATACAAGCACACATATATCTCAGATCCTAAGCACACAAAGGAAACACACAAGGCAGTTGACCAGCCTTCGCGCACATTTTAGTTGACCAGCGCGAAGTGGTCAATGGGCTGGTCAAACTATCGAGCCCCAAACACAAACACACTCGAAATTCACAACCAACCTTCATGAAAAAACTCGACATTCATGAAACATAAAACATTCATGCAACACAGAACTTTCATGAACGCACATGTTCGTCGATGAAAACAAACATGAGCGGACATGAGCCGACATGAACAAACATGAGCCGAAATGAACGAACACAACTCGTCATGATCCGTCATGACTGATCATGATCCCACAGCAACAACACATGAAACGGAATGCGAAAACGAATGCACACAGAACACACACAAAATGCATAACGTCATGCAGGCGGCTGGTTGCAGTGCAAAAATAATGTTTTGCACCCAACACGCACCTTGTGAGCCCTCACCACTGCTTGTGATTCTGTTTTTTTTCGCATTGCTACTGTTGCTGCACCTCTTTTTTGCTGCTGCTGATTATTCTGTGACTATGGATCATTCCCTTGCTGTGCTAAAACCATGCTACTACTGCTTTTCTCTACCTTCTGCTCTTGCCAGTTTCCCTCACAACTTCACTCAGTTGCCATCACAAGTCCTCCTTATCCACTTTGTTCCTTTCAGGCAACTAGGCCGTCTCAAACTAGCAGGCACTCTCCCTCTTGAGTTACTGACCTCACATCTCTCATTTCTCTGTAAGCAGCTCACAAGCTACGCCATCCCCTATGACAAGAGCTATCTTTTTCTTGCACTCCGCTTATGTCAGCAAGAGCTGCATCCATCTGGCTTGCATTTCATTCTTGCGTTTTCCTCAGCCCTCCTTCTCCATGTTTTACCTCCATTCTCCTCCTTCCCTTTTTTCACACAATCTCCACCTTTTTCACTCCCCTCATTGCCAGTGATCTGAGCGGCAAACTCTTTCAGGGTCGCCTGGATGAGGTCGCCACACACCTTCGCCTTCTCACTGCCCTCCAGTCCATGTGCGTTGCTCTATGCACCTGTGCTGCAAGCACCTGTGATCTCACCAGATTCTGTACCAGCATCTGTGCCAACACATACAAAGGTTGTTTATCTCTTGCAATTGTGCCAAGGCATGCTGCCTTGCCTTGAACGGCAGTACTAGTTCCCAAACAGCCTTGCACCCGCTAAGTTCAGCTAGTATGCATGCGCCTTGATGTTGAGACGACCCCCTTTCATTCTCCATCTACCTAACCTTCCCTCCTTGACATGCAGCAACCTCTCGTTCAACTGGTTCTCTCACACTGTCCTTGGATACCTGCTCGCTCTTCCCAATCTCTCCAACCTGTGAGATACCATACCTACCTACTTTCACCAGAGTAACACACTTTCTTTTGGTACTTACCATATGGGTAAGTAATGTACTTACTGGAGTGCCCATGCACACCTTCTATATCCTCCCCTCATGTCATCGCTTTCACTTCCTACTCCTCGCATGCCGTCCCATCTCCTGCATCCACCTCACATCCACTTGTCAACGGTGTGCTCAACCTCTTCGGCTTGGCCACCACCAACCATATGGATAAATAACTCACCAACCATACAGTAGCCTTATTAGATTCTAACGAAGTCAGTTCAATTTTGAAGTCTGCTCTTTCTACGGACGTACAATTAAACAAGCTATCGGGTAGAAAAGTTGAAAGACTGTTTACGGAGGTAGAATTGGTCCAGCATGCACGCGCTGAATGGTCGGACCGCTTTATTTATTTACCTTAGTAGATGAATGGCGACAATGGAATGGTGTCTTTTGGGAAATACAATAGTAATAACCATATGTGTAAGTTAACGCACTTACTCCTGGAAACTGTCACATCGGGATGTAACGTACTTACTATCGCTACAATCCATGTGAATGAGTAATGCACTTACATTTACTACTAACCATATGGGTAAGTAATGCACATACTCCTGGGACCTGTCATATTCAGAAGTAACACACTTACTATTGGTACTAACCATGTGGGTAAGTAACGCACTTACTCTTAGTACCAACCATATGGGTAAATAGCACACGTACAATCTGTAGTAACCATCTGTCATATCGAGAAATAACGCACATACTCTATGTACCAACCACACTTTTTTGTGACACTTATTATATGGTTAAGTAACGTAGTTACTGGAGTGCCCAAGCACACCTTCTATAACATCCCCTCGTGTCATCACTTTCACTTCCCACTCCTCGCATGCCGTCCACATCACATCCACCTGTCAACGGTTGAGACTATTTGTCTTTGAAAATCAAAACCCCTCCCCTTGCCACCCCCCACCAGTGTGTTGGGCTTCAACTTCCTGACGGGGTCGCTGCCTGGCAGCATAGCGGCACCTCTCAAGGCTCTGGACGTGCAGTTCAACTTCCTTGCTGGCTCCTTCCCCGCCCTCAGCCTCGCCTTCTGCTCCGCCCGCATCAACTGCTTTGCTTCCATCGCCAACTGCAAGCACCCCACAAGGCCCGCTGAGATCCCGCGGGCAGCAGCAGCATGTGCCATATGCAACACCATGAACGCTCAGGGTAAGCTCTGCAGCAACAACGTCGGTGGTGGAATCTGCAGTGTCATTCTTCCTCCTTCGCTCCTGCTCCCACCAGCCACACCCAACAGTGCCTCATCGCCCGTGCTCCCTCTAGTATGCACCGCTTCTGCAAGTGTGCCCATAAATGCGACTCATGCCGCTGCGCTGATGAATGTGAAGGTGGCGCTGGGAGTGTCGTTTCCAGACTGGCGGGGCGATGCCCTCTGCACCCTCGTGGGCTCGCCAGTCCCGGCCCCCAACACATGGAATGGCGTCGCCTGTGATGAATCGGGGAAAGTGCTCCGAGTGTGAGTGCCCTGCCTGCTCCTGTGTCCTTGCTGTGTGTAATCATACCACTGTGAGTGGCCGGAGGTTGCTGATTTGCAGCATCAGGCCCTCTTCTGTCCTTTCTCCTCCCTACGTCTATCCAAGTGGTAAGCATTTGGTTGTTGCTTTACTACCCATTGTTACTGCTTCTTGTTTCTATCACATGTGCTGCCTTCCCTACATGATACATCTGCTGCTTGAGTGCTCCATTCCCCTCAGCGTGTGCTGCCCTCCCCATGTTCACGTCAATCAATCGCCACGCGCAGGTCGCTCAAGGGGCAGGGCCTCACAGGGAGCATCCACTCGGAGATCTCCAAGCTCACCACCCTCACCGTGCTGTGAGTACACATGCTCACCACCCTCACCGTGCTGTGAGTACACATGCTCACCACCCTCACCGTGCTGTGAGTACACATGCTCCCCACCCTCACCGTGCTGTGAGTACACATGCTCACCACCCTCACCGTGCTATGAGTACACATGCTCACCACCCTCACCGTGCTGTGAGTACACATGCTCACCACCCTCACCGTGCTGTGAGTACACATGCTCACCACCCTCACCGTGCAGTGAGTACATATGCACATTCAATGAGCCCCCCCGCCCCGCATAGCATACCCCTGATTCAGGGCTCGGGCACAGCACCACACGTGCACCAGCTATTCATTATCCAATGTTCACGCATTTTGCAGATTTTCCTCTGGCCTTTGCACCGTTCCCCGTTGCAACATTCACCCTTTCCCTCCTGCACCACTTTCCAATGCCCGAACGGCAGTGACCTGCAGTCCAACCTGCTGGAAGGCAAGATGGACGCCTTCACTACCAACATCAAGGCGCCTCTTGTGCTCAAGGAGCTCTCAGTCCATCCCCTCCCTGCCCTGCCCCCACCCACGCACCATTCCACCTTCCCATCCACCCATCCACCCATCCTTCCATCCTTCCATCCCACTGCTGCTTCTCTCGTCTCGCCATCCATTGGCTTCGTGCCCCACACACTTGGCAACAGAAGCAAGTGAATGCTACAAATTGACAAAAACTTGCCATCGATTAATAAACTCCTCCCTTCCCCTGTGCCCCCATTCCCGGTGCACCCATGCAGCTACCTGCAGTACAACTACCTCTATGGCGTCTTCCCCTCGGCCCTCCTTGCCCTCAAAACCCTCTCAACAGTGTGAGTAAGCCGCGCGATGATTCCGATATGCTGAAGCAAGACCTTTCATTCACCTTCAGTTTTGTTTGTAACGGGCAATCAAAGCGACAAAGTTGAATGCGTCCCAGCTGAAGCAGGGCATTTGATTTTCTTTGGGGTTTCATTGGTCGAGTAGGCAGAGTGATAAAGTGGAGTCTACACTCACCTCAACAGCCTAAACTCTGTTGCATCTAGAGAAACTAGAGACCTGCTGAGACCTTCCGCTATTCCTTGTTCCAGCTTCTAGCACATAAAGCTAACCATTTGATTAAAAACCGAGAGACGAAACATCTGCAACACTCCTTGAACCCAACCAGAACTGCACTGCATGCATGGTGCTTGCAGGGCATCTAAACCTGTCCGCATAGCTCTGCTTGCATCACATCACCATCCGCCACTCTCTCTCACACATGCTTCCTGCATTTTAGTCCGCCCCATATCCACCCCTCTTCCACCACCACCACAAGAGCTCCCTGGCCTTCAACCACCTCACCACCTGCTTTGGCACCACCTGCTTTGGCACCACCTGCTTTGGCACCACCTGCTTTGGCACCACCTAATTTGGCACCACCTACTTTGGCACCACCTGCTTTGGCACCGCCTGCTTTGGCACCGCCTGCTTTGGCACCGCCTGCTTTGGCACCGCCTGCTTTGGCACCACCTGCTTTGGCACCACCTGCTTTGGCACCACCTTCTTTGGAACCACCTGCTTTGGCACCACCTGCTTTGGCACCACCTGCTTTGGAACCACCTGCTTTGGAACCACCTGCTTTGGCACCACCTGCTTTGGCACCACCTGCTTTGGAACCATCTGCTTTGGCACCACCTGATTTGGCACCACCTGCTTTGATACCACCTGCTTTGGAACCACCTGCTTTGGTACCACCTGCTTTGGCACCACCTGCTTTGGCACCACCTGCTTTGGAACCACCTACTTGGAACCACCTGCTTTGGAACCACCTGCTTTGGAACCACCTGCTTTGGCACCACCTGCTTTGGCACCACCTTCTTTGGCACCACCTGCTTTGGCACCACCTGCTTTGAAACCACCTGGTTTTGGCACCACCTGCTTTGGCACCACCTGATTTGGCACTACCTGCTTTGGCACCACCTGCTTTGGCACCACCTACTTTGGAACCACCTACTTCGAACCACCTGCTTAGGAACCACCTGCTTTGGCACCACCTGCTTGGCACCACCTGCTTTGATACCACCTACTTGGAACCACTTGCTTTGGAACCACCTGCTTTGGCACCACCTGCTTTGGCACCACCTGCTTTGGCACCACCTGCTTTAAAACCACCTGCTTTGGAACCACCTGCTTTGGAACCACCTGCCCTTCAAACCCTTTTCTTCCCTCTCCTCCAAGGCATTTAACTACCTCACCACCTTCCCTTCCACTCTTCTCTTCTCCTACCCTCTTCCTCCACCCCATCAGCTCCATGGCCTTCAACTACCTCACCGGATCACTCCCCACCGCACTCCCCACCACGCTCGCCTCTCTGTACGTGCAAAGCAACTTCCTGGCGGGTTCCGTGGCGGCCAACAGCATTGCCTACTGCGCCAGCATGGGCAACTGCCTGGTGGACACGTCCAAGTGTGCATCATTGGGACTGCTGTCAACGGGAGTTGGGTATTGGCCCCGTCCTCGCTTGGGCGGAGCCGACTTCGTGGTCGGGCGTGAGAGGAGCAGCCGACCTGCAGCAGTGGGTGAGCTGGTCGACGAGGAGGTCGACCTGCACGGGGGACCACTGCACGGGCGCCAACTTCAGGGTGGCGCCGACTTCGGGGAGGTCGACTTGGGAGTCGACCTGCGGAGGACGTCGAAGCCGACTTCGGCGGTCGGCTAACGGACCGCTGGTCGACCTGCGGGTGGTCGACTGGACCTGGTGGTCGACGAAGGAGGGACCGACGTCGACCTTGACGCAGGACGCCGAGCAGTCGGGCGTCGAGTAGCGGGGCGTCAACTTCGTGACGCGCTTCGAGCGGCCGACGTGGGTGGTCGGCCGACTGTGCTGGTCGACGTGGAGCTGGTCGACCAGAGGGGACGTCGACCTGGAGGAGGTCGACCGATGGTATCGTCGACCTGGTGAGGTAGACGTGGAGGTGATCGTCGACTTGGGAGGTCGACGGACGGGAGCTGCTGGTCGACGTGGTTGCCTGGTCGACCAGGTTACCTGGGTGACGAAGTGCTGCGGAGGAGTGCGACGGTCGCCCAGGCGAAGTTGGCGAGCACGACCTTGGTGGTGGTATCCTGAGGTCGACGTGGCCGATCAGAGGCAGTCGTCAGCTCGAGGTTGACGTGGTGTTGTGCGCTGTGTAGGTGACGAGGCTCTGCACGCCAATCACCTGCACGCAACTGCAAAGCAGGGTGCACTGCTGTCCTGCGTGAGCAACGCTGTCTCGCCGTCAACCTGTGACGTTGACACGCCGTCGACCTTGCCTTGCTGGAGCGCGGTCGACCAAGTCGTGCTGGAACGCGGTCGACCAAGCTGCGCTGGCAGTTGGCCGACCTGAATGCTTGCTCTGATGCAGTCTTGCTATGCCAACTTCATTGTACCATTGTTCTGAACTTTTCCTAGTGGAACTCTTGCCAATTTTCCCCGTGAACTAGCAAGTAGTGTGCACACAAGGAAAACGACTAAGGAACAGAGAACGCAGAGATCACACGAGCACACGTGCCTAGCCCGCAGCCTAGCTCCCGTTGCTGCAGTTATCTCCGCATGGTGCGGTGAGCGTGGACGACACCGCGATGTAGCTCAGTCTAGCCGACTTAGCACATCCCGATCGTGTTCGTAGACCGGCAGCCGTGCAGTCACTAGCGTGCGCGTAGGCGACGCCGAGGTGATGGATACCCTGGAGGGACGGCTGGAGGATGCGAGGAGACGCCATGAGGCCCAGGAGTATGGGGCGATACCCTGGGCAGTCGTCGAAGCCGGACTCCGCTCCGTGTGGGCGGCGGAGCACCCCCCTTCTCGACCCACCTCTCCTCGACCGGTGAACAACGACGGCGGCGTCGACGTGGGTGTCAACGCCGGTGGAGGTCAGGTCGGCAGCAGTGCGGGAGGCACGTCGAGGCAGAGAGGTGTGATACACGCCGGTGAAGTCGGCGGCGTTCAGGCGCGAGGGATGCAGTCGTCGGCGGCTGCAGGCTCCTCGCATGGTGACGCTGGTGGGCGTCGAAGTGGGCTGTCGCCGATGTCGGCGTCCCAGGTGACGGCAGGTGGGATTGCGCCGAGCTACAGCTACTTCAAGTTTACGCCGGACAGGATCTCGGTCACCCCTCCGCTGGTCGGTCGACCCGACATTCTCACCTGGAAGGAAGCCATCGAGCCCCAGCTGGAGATGGCCGGACTGATCGGCTTCGCCTGAGGGACCGTGGCGGCGCCGGGGGAGCACCACCCCGACCTGCGTGCGGAGTTTTGCGCCGTGCAGCTGTTGACCTTCACGGTCATCTCACGGTGCTGCTCGCCGGGCGTGTAGATCGCCTTGAGGTGGTGCCGGGAGTACCTCGACGCCGGCCACCGGGCGTGGCACTTCATTGAGTCGACATACCAGGTCACCGACGACCAGTTCATCGCCCAGCTGGAGGGACAGCTGACGCACCTGCGTATGGGCGACGAGGAGAGTGCGACCGACTACTGCAACCGAGCCAGGCGAATTCTCGCCACCATCAGGATGGCCGGCGCGCAGTACTCCACGGCGTCGTACATCACCCATGTCATGCAGGGACTGTCTAGCAGCTACAACCTGCTGAAGCGGCTGTCTATGGCGCCGAGCACAAGGGCGACGCTCAACGAGGACAACCTGACCTCGTATATCCTGCAGGACGAGGCGATGCAGGAGGCTGAGCGGTCGCAGGAGCTCTTGGCGCAGGCGAACTTGGTCACCTCAGCGAAGCAAGGAGGCCGACCGGGACAGCGCGGGCAGTCTGGCGGTGGTGGTAGCAGTGGCTGGAAGCCGGCCAAGGAGGTCGACAAGAAGAAGTCGACCAAGGACGGCGATCGAGGAGGAGGAGGTCGACGTCGGGAGTGCTGGATCTGCCGCAGCCCCGATCACCTCTCCTTTGAGTGTCCCGACCGCAGTGACTCCGACGACGATGACAAGGGCGGCCGCGGGAGGTCTGGCAGCCGTCGTCCTCGTCGTGGAGGCAACCAACCGCGCAAGGAGAAGCAGTCGACCAAGACATCGACTTCGGCGAAGGACGCCGACTCCGTTGCAGGCGGCAAGGGGCGAGACGACAAGACGGCGTCGTGCTCGCTGGTCGGCGTCGTGGAGCCGACCATCTCTCTGGCGCCGGAGGCTGGAGAGGACTTCCAGGCGGTGGCGGCAGCTGTGCAGGCAAACCCGGCGGTGGTCCTGCTCGACAGTGGTTGCTCCCACCACCTGATGGGGACGAAGGAAGCCTTCGTCGACTTGCAGCCGAACGGCGCCATCAAGCATGTGCGCGGCTTCAATGGGGCGCTGCAGGATGTCTAGGGCTGCGGCACCATCGCCCTGCAAGGAGAGTCCGGGAAGGAGGTGCTCATCCCCGACGTGTTGTACGTCCCGGGTGTGCGAGCCAACCTGCTGTCGGCCGGCCAGCTGAAGGAGCATGGCGTGAAGCTGCAGGAGGACGGAGACGGCATGCGGCTCGTCTCGGCAGCAGGGGAGGTGCTCGGGCGGGCGACGTACTCTGGGCGAGTCCTCTGCACCGACCTGCGTCCCTGCGCGACGAGGTCGACGCCGCCCACGACGGAGGTGGTGGCTCTGCGGGCGATCGTTCCGAAGACGAAGTCGACGCCGGACCGGATGCATGCGAGGCTTGCGCACGTCGGCAAGGACACCATACGGAGCTCGGCGAAGAACGAGGTCGCCATTGGGCTGGACCTCAAGTCGGCGATGGACGCCGACTCCCCGTGTGTCTCGTGCGTCGGTGGGAAACTGGCGCGGCACACCTTCCCCGACCAAGGCTCCGAGGCCGACGACGTGCTGGCCGTCGTGCACATCGACCTGTGCGGGCCGTTTCGAGTGGCTGCCAAGGATGGCAGCCTGTACTTCTTGCTGCTGAAGGACCGCAAGACCCGCTATGTGTGGGTGAAGTCGGTCACCAAGAAGTCCGATGTGTTGCAGGCGTTCGTACAGTGGCTGGCGGTGGCTGAGCGGCAGACGAAGAAGTCGGTGCTGATGCTGCGCTCTGACCGGGGAGGGGAGTTCCTCGGGAAGCAGTTCACTGACTTCGTGAACGACAAGGGGATCGTCCACGACCTGACCTGCCCATATACCCCGCAGCAGAACGGCATGGCGGAGCAGGAGATGAGGACGGTGGTGGAGTCGGTGCGGACAATGCTGCTGCACATGGGCGTGCAGCACCACTGGTGGCACCTCGCTCTGCGGCAGGCCGTCTGGGTCCGCAACTGCCTGGAGAGGTCGACGCTGCCGCCGAGGACGACGCCGTACAAGCTGCTGACCGGGAAGAAGCCCGACTTGTCGCTGGCACGGGTGTGGGGCTGCATGGCGCAGTTCCTTATTCCTGAGCAGCAGGGCGGTGGGAAGCTGAAGCCGAAGGCCAGGTGGGGCCTGCACCTTGGCGTGTCGGCGGCGAGCAAGGGCTGGGAGCTCCTCGACGTCGACACCAACCGGGTGGTCACCACGTCAGACGTGGTGTTTTACGAGGAGATGTCGATGGCTAAGTGGAAGACAGAGCATGGGCCGGTGCCCGGCCGCTCGCTGTCCACCCCGCCCTCTGACACCTCGTCGGCGACGCTGCCGCTGCTTGCCGAGGTCGGTGAGCTTGCTACTGAGGACGTCAAGGACGTCCGCACCTCTACCCCTCTCCCTCTGACCCCTGCCCCTCCCCTCGTGGCCGACCTGCGTGGGCTGGCCTTGGTGTCGGCCTCCGGCGATGAGGGGAGGAGTGGGACGTCGCCTTCGGCACCGGCCAAGTGCATCGCCGGCGGCCGACGTGACGAGCGGCAAATCGACGTGGGATTGCCGTCGACAGGGGAGCAGCAGGTCGAAGAGCAGCAGCCGACAAGGGAGCAGGCTGCCGTGAAGCCGACCACGGAGCAGTCGGCGACCGGGACGTCGGCAAGGGAGCCGACCACAGGGGAGAAGTCGGCTGGGAAGCCGATCACAGTGGAGCAGTCGGCTGGGACGCCGGCTGAGGAGCAGCAGGACGCCGAGGGCAGCGACGACAGTGACGATGGAGGGGACGCCGAGGAGGTCCAGCAAGGACCGCGACGTTCAGGCCGACTTCGGAGGCCGCCTGACTTCTTCGTCCCTGCCGCCTTCACCACGGTGTATGACGTGGACGATGACGACGACCTGCTGTACGACGACGCCGAGGAGGATGAGGAGTTTCCGGAGCTCGACCCGGACATGCTAGCCGACCCCGAGCACCGTTGGGACATCTCGACGATGACGGTGAAGGAGGCGTTGGCGAGCTGGAAGGGCCCGGCGGTGAAGGCCGCCATGGAGGAGGAGATCCGTAGCCTCATCAACATGGGCACTTGGGAGCTGGTCGAACGCCCGCCGGGAGTGAACGTCATGAAGAACCGGTGGGTGTTAACGACAAAGTACCACATCGACGACACCGTCGAGCGAGAGAAGGCGAGACTGGTCGTGAAGGGCTTCACACAGGTGTACGGTGCCGACTACGACGAAACGTTCGCGCCGGTGAGCAGCTACGTCACGCTGAGGATCTTCCTCAGCATCGTCGCCATCCTCAACCTTAACCTGATGCAGCTCGACATGAAGAACGCCTTCCTGCAGAGCAAGCTCGATCGGGTGCTATACATGTCCCAGCCGGAATACTTCAACGACAAAACCGGCCGGGTGTGTAAGCTGCTGAAGAGCCTGTATGGGCTGAAGCAGTCGCCGCTGTTGTGGTACTTGGCGCTCAATGATGTGCTGGTCGGCGCCGGGTGGAAGAAGAGCCAGGTGGATGAGGCTCTTTACTTCAAGGTCGGCGAGGGTGGAGTGGCCTGCTGGGTGCTGGTCTACGTCGACGACCTGCTTGCCGCCAGCAGCAGCGCCGCGATGCTGAAGGAGCTGAAGGAGCTGCTGGAAGCCGCTTTCGAACTGCGCGAGATCTCGCCGGTGCAGAAGTACCTCGGGCTGGAGATCGTGCGCGACAAGTCGGCGGGGAAGCTGTGGTTGCACCAGCAGGGCTACGCCGACAAGCTGCGTAGGCGCTTCCACGACGAGGAGCAGACCGGGCGCACCCCGAAGACACCGGTCTCGGTCGGTGCCTACGCCGAGCTCACTTTCGATGACGAGGAGGCGCAGGAACGGCAGGAGGAGGAGTACCGGCAGAAGGTCGGCTCGCTGCTGTTCGCGGCGACGACGACGAGGCCGGACGTCGCCTTTGCCTGCAGCAAGCTGGGGAGCGGCCTCACGGTGAGGAGCGACCAGCACTGGCGCGACGTCGATCGCTGCCTCGCCTACCTCGCCAACACACGCGACACCGCCCTGGAGTTCGGCGGTGGACCTGAGTAGCTGGAGCTGGTCGGCTACGTGGACGCCGACGACGCCGGTGACAAGCAGAACAGGATGAGCACGAGCGGCTACGTGTTCGTCTACGGAGGGGCTGCAGTCTCCTGGTCGAGCCAGCGCATCAAGTGCGCGACGCGGTCGTCGACCGAGTCGGAGTACGTGGCGGCCACTGAAGCTGGCAAGGAGGGACGCCGCCTTCGCTTCCTCCTCGCCGAGTTCCGGCAAATGGACGCCGGGAAGCCGACTGTCCTGCGCGTGGACAACAAGTCGGCCATCACGGTCGCCGAGGGCATGGGGTTGACGGGCAACCTCAAGCACATGGAGCGGCGACAGGCCTGGCTGCAGCACATGGTGAGGCGCGGGAAGTTCTTGCTGCAGTACATCCCAACCGCTGAGCAGCCGGCCGACTTCCTGACAAAGGCGCTGCACTATCCGGCCTTCAACCGGTGCTCCGTCGCAATCGGCCAAGTGCGCTTGGCCGACGTGGGCGACGGCGACAACGACGTGCAGCAGTAGGTGCCATGCCCTTTTGCATGGCTGGTGCGGTGGACGACGTGCTATGTGTTGGGTGCACGTCGACGAGCTAGTCTCCAAGCTGAACTGCCGTGTGGGCTGGGTGCCCAAGCGTGAACGCGGCAGGGGAGTGTCAACGGGAGCTGGGTATTGGCCCCGTCCTCGCTTGGGCGGAGCCGACTTCGTGGTCGGGCGTGAGAGGAGCAACCGACCTGCAGCAGTGGGTGAGCTGGTCGACGAGGAGGTCGACCTGCACGGGGGACCACTGCACGGGCGCCAACTTCAGGGTGGCGCCGACTTCGGGGAGGTCGACTTGGGAGTCGACCTGCGGAGGACGTCGAAGCCGACTTCGGCGGTCGGCTAACGGACCGCTGGTCGACCTGCGGGTGGTCGACTGGACCTGGTGGTCGACGAAGGAGGGACCGACGTCGACCTTGACGCAGGACGCCGAGCAGTCGGGCGTCGAGTAGCGGGGCGTCAACTTCGTGACGCGCTTCGGGCGGCCGACGTGGGTGGTCGGCCGACTGTGCTGGTTGACGTGGAGCTGGTCGACCAGAGGGGACGTCGACCTGGAGGAGGTCGACCGATGGTATCGTCGACCTGGTGAGGTAGACGTGGAGGTGGTCGTCGACTTGGGAGGTCGACGGACGGGAGCTGCTGGTCGACGTGGTTGCCTGGTCGACCAGGTTACCTGGGTGACGAAGTGCTGCGGAGGAGTGCGACGGTCGCCCAGGCGAAGTTGGCGAGCACGACCTTGGTGGTGGTATCCTGAGGTCGACGTGGCCGATCAGAGGCAGTTGTCAGCTCGAGGTTGACGTGGTGTTGTGCGCTGTGTAGGTGACGAGGCTCTGCACGCCAATCACCTGCACGCAACTGCAAAGCAGGGTGCACTGCTGTCCTGCGTGAGCAACGCTGTCTCGCCGTCAACCTGTGACGTTGGCACGCCGTCGACCTTGCCTTGCTGGAGCGCGGTCGACCAAGTCGTGCTGGAACGCGGTCGACCAAGCTGCGTTGGCAGTTGGCCGACCTGAATGCTTGCTCTGATGTAGTCTTGCTATGCCAAATTCATTGTACCATTGTTCTGAACTTTTCCTAGTGGAACTCTTGCCAATTTTCCCCGTGAACTATCAAGTAGTGTGCACACAAGGAAAATGACTAAGGAACAGAGAACGCAGAGATCACACGAGCACACGTGCCTAGCCCGCAGCCTAGCTCCCGTTGCTGCAGTTTTCTCCGCAACTGCCACAGCGCAGCGCCGCTGAATGTGCCGTCTGTGGCTCCACCGACGGCCAGGGTGCTCTGTGTGCTGCTGCCACCACCTGCCGGGTTGCTGCTGCTGGGGCTGGGGTGACAACTCCCCCCACTGCGCCTTCCGCTACTCTCCCTCTCTTCTGCGAGGCTATTCCCATGGACAATGTAACAAGTGAGTGTGCTCTTTTGCTTCTTCTGTGCAGCTCTGTTTTCTCAAACGGTATGTGCATACAAGGTAAGTGAATTGCCAAGGGGCTGGGTTTTATACAGGTTTTGTAATATTTTCTCAGGAGCTCTGTGGAACATATGTGAAGCCTGCGACAGCTTCCTACATTAGGACCTTCTACCCACCTGCTCTCTCCTCTCTCCTCCTTCACCCACTTCCCATGCACGCCTTGCCAGCCCAAACGATGCTAGCCATCAAAGCTGCACTGGGGGTAACGCTCACAGACTGGGCAGGGACTCAGTGCACGTGCACATTGGAGGGGCAGACTCCTGGCCCAGGCGCATGGACCGGCGTCTACTGCAGCTCCATGGGGGCTGTTGTGGGCATGTGAGTGCTGCCATGTTGCTGTGCTTTGCCGTGCTGCTATAAAGGCTGCTCCTCTGTTGCCACTGGTGCTCGAGTGTGTTGTGCAGATGTAACGTGGATGGATTGAGCGGTAACCCGCCGTCTCTTGCTCTTTCACTCTACTCTCTGCTTCATTGTGTAGTGTGCTGCCAAACAAGAAGTTGAGTCGAAGCCTATCAACGGACATCACCAAGCTCACAGCCCTCACCATGCTGTACGCCCTCCCAATCCCCTTCTGTTGTGGACCCTGCCATGGTACCTGGCATGTCCTGCTACTTGTTGGTCAAACCGAGCTAACGGGTCCCCCTTCTCCCTACCGTGCTTCAGTGTTTCACCTCTGAATTCCATCTGCCTGTGTGTGCATGCATGTGTGCAGCGACCTGAGCTCCAACCTCTTCCAGCGCCGCCTGAATGTCTTTCTTTCTGCCGTTTCTGCCCTCAAGGCTCTCAAGAATATGTAAGATTTGCCATGTTTCACTAACATTGTTTATCTGCTGAATGCTCTATAATGTCGACTGCTAACCACACACACTCACACACACATACGCACATACACACACACACACATACACATACACACACACATATATACACACTCATTTGCACACACCACACACACACATTAACACACACACACACACCCACAGAACACACACACATACACACCACACACACACACACGAAGTGCTGTGCTGTGCACATTGAAATGCTGTTGGGAGCACATTGGCATGGTATTGGGTGCAGTACACATGGTATTGTGTGCTTCGAGTTACTGAATGCTGCTTCGTGCTGCAGTATGCTCTCACCAATCCTCTCCACTCCTCTTCTCAAATGCCCCTCACGTCACATCATTCCCCACCCACAGTCACCTGCAATACAACTGGTTTTCCAGCTCCATCCCCTCCTCCCTCGTCGCCCTCTCAGTTCTCTCCACCCTGTGAGTGATCCCCTCTCCACCCTTGTGCGTCAAAATGAATCAAACACTGTTTTCCAAGCATGAAGCATAATTTTCCACCCCCATCCCGTCCTGCATACATTCAAAAAACGCTCCCCCACACACAACCCCTCTCCCACACTTGCCTCACTCTCGACTCTCAGTTTTGAAACTGTTTATGTTCATCTGCACTGACCCGACCCGTCTTCCTCCTCCACCCTTCACTACCCATGCACTGCCACCAGATGTTGTTGCAACAGCAACAGCATCCTGCATGCCGGACTCACAGACCCTCAACCCTCCTTTCTTCCCTTTCTTCATGCTCCTTCCACTTTTCCCTCCCTCTTCCTTCCTTTCCCCCCCCTATACCCCCCCACCTACACCGCCACGCACAGCAAGCTGAATCGCAACTATCTGACGGGCACAGTGCCTGCTTTCAAGACTACCCTCAAGGCCCTCAACGTGGCCAGCAACCTGCTCTCGGGCGCCTTCCCCGCCATCTCCCTCACCACCTGCGATGCCCGCTCCAACTGCCTCTCCAGCGCCACCAATTGCGCCAATGCTGCCGGCACGGCGCAACGGTTATCCTCAGAGTGCAGCGTGTGTGGGTCCACCGATGCTTCTGGCGTTCTGTGTGGAGGAGGGCTGTGCGCCCTTGATGCCTCCGCCCCTGCTGCCTCCTCCACCCCCAACACGGACGGCCAGCCGCTGCTGCCACTGAGCTGCCTGGGAGTGCCCATAGATGCGGCCATGGTGTTGGCGTTGCTGAGTGTGAAGGCATCGCTGGGTGTCACATTCACGAATTGAAATGTGGATGCGCCGTGTGCACTGGCAGGGCAGGCCGTGGTGCCGGGCTCGTGGTCGAGCATTGTATGTGACGCCGCCGGCAAGGTTCTCACCCTGTGAGTGCAGGTGGGCTGCTTGGGGTCTCCTTTTTCTCGTCGTGTGATGTGTGTGTGAGTGTGATTGGACACAGGCTGTTGTGCTCCTAGTGGATCACACTTGTGCTTACGGTGGAGCATTGCATGATGTCGTTTGAGCCTTTATCTACTCATTCGCGCATAGAAGCATGCTACAACATCATCGTGTCCTCCCTTGGTGATGAACCTATACGCACCGTGGGTGGATGGCATGGCATCGTATGGCAAGGGTTTCGGCTTCAGGGTGTGTGCATTCATTGTATTCGTTCACTGAGACAGGCATGGCATGGCGTCATGTCACATACTCACCATATCGTCACCATCATCTACTTGTGCCACACACACGCAGCAAGCTGGGCAATCTGCTGCTGCCATGATCCGTCAACTCACTGGTGTCAACACTCACCTCTCTTACCGGACTGTAAGCTGCACCTTCTATTGCTACCTCACTGCCTGTTGTGATTAATCACCTCTCATTCACAGTGGGCACAAAAGTTTCACCTTGCATTCTCCATGGCCCACCTGCCCACATGCTATCATGCTCACGCCAGCTCATACAGTCTCATGCTCACATGCTGTGAGGTGCACGTGTGTGGGCTGTGCCATGCTGCACGTGTGTGGGCTGTGCCATGCTGCAGCGAGCTGAACAACAACCTCTTCTCAGGCCGCCTGGATTCCTTCCCCACCCTTCTTCTTCCCGTCAAGACCCTCAAAGTCTTGTGAGTTGCACTCCAACCACTCTTCACCCCCAACACAACCACAGTGCACCCCCAACACAACCACACTGCACCCCCAACCCAACCACACTGCACCCCCAACACAACCACACTGCACCCCCAACCCAACCACAGTGCACTCCCAACCCAACCACACTGCACCCCCAACCCAACCACACTGCACCCCCAACCCAACCACACTGCACCCCCAACCCAACCATACTGCACCCCCAACCCAACCACACCGCACCCCCAACCCAACTACGCTGCACCCCCAACCCAACCACACTGCACCCCCAACCCAACCACACTGCACCCCCAACCCAACCACACTGCACCCCCAACCCAACCACACCGCACCCTCAACCCAACCACACTGCACCCCCAACCCAACCACACTGCACCCCCAACCCAACCACACTGCACCTCCAACCACACTGCACCCCCACTCCAACCACACTGCACCCCCAACCCAACCACACTGCACCACCAACCCAACCACACTGCACCCCCAACCCAACCACACTGCACCCCCAACCCAACCGCACTACACCCCGAACCCAACCACACTGCACCCCAACCCAACCACACTGCACCCCCAACCCAACCACGCTGCACCCCCAACCCAACCACACTGCACCCCCAACCCAACCACACTGCACCCCCAACCCAACTACACAGCACCCCCAACCCAACTACACTGCACCCTCAACCCAACTACACTGGACAATCAACCCAACTACACTGCACCCCCAACCCAACTACACTGCACAATCAACAATAACTCGGCGGCACCATTGCACCCACCTGGTTGGTCTTGTTTGGCTTCGACCTCTTCCCCATGTCTTGTTTGACAACCATGCAAGATAGATCATACAAAGCAGGGCAGCCCCTACCGGGCACGCGATATCATATACCGCATACCGTGTGATTCAGCACCCTTTCTCCTTATCGCTGACCTCATCCCCCCTTCCAGCCATGTTCACAACAACTACCTGTCGGGCGCCGTGCCACCATCACTCACTGCTTTCTCTGCCCTCTCTGAACTGTGAGCTCTCTCCCCTCGCCTTTTGCGATGTTCGTTCCACATCGAAACTCCCTTCTTTCTAGTCTCTTTTTATTTTGGCATATCCTCTCCCTCCTATCTCTTACTTCTTTGTATTCCTCCCTCCCTCTCATCATCACATGCTCACATCATCACCATTTGGACTTCCTTCCCCCATTTCCGTGCCCATCACAGCAAGGTCCAGGGCAACTACCTGACGGGCAGCATGCCGGCTGCGCTGCCGGCGTCCCTCAAGTACATGGACGCATCAGGGAACTACCTGGTGGGAACGTTCCCCACCACCACCACCACCTACTGCAGCTGCGCCAGAAACTGCTTCAAGGACAGCACCAAGTGCACCAGCGGCAGCACACAGCGCGCAGTAGCAGCACGTGCCATCTGCGGCAGCACCGATGCCACCGGGGTGCTCTGTAATGGCGGCACGTGTGCTCCCAGTTCGACAGCTCTGATCGCAGCAAAGACTCTAAATACGGGGACGGCTGAGATGTATTGCGCGGGTGCTCCCATGGATGCTGCCATGGGTGAGTGCCGTGAGCCGTGAGGTCAGGCATGAGGGAAACGGGTACATGTGAGAAAGTGGTTGATTAGGGGATGCGAGGAGGAGCCTTGCACAAGTGCCAGCTCCATTCCATACAATCATTGTACTCTCTATGATCTCGAATAGTATCTCATCACAATGTATCGTATCCCACCGTTCACCTTGCCCCAAGAGTTGTCCGCATTGCCCTGTCTGATAATAATGGAAACGACTCAACCAACTTGCCCCCCACTCCTCGTTCCCCTCTAACCCCTCCCTCCCAGCTGCAGCGCTGCTGAGTGTGAAGGCATCGCTGGGAGTGTCGTTCACCAGCTGGGCGGTGAGCTCGCCGTGTGCCGTGCAGGGAGTGGCAGAACCGCCAGGCGCGTGGTCCAACGTCCTCTGCAACTCTGCCTTCAAACCCGTCTCGCTGTTAGTCACCCGGTCTTCGCGACAAAACTAACTTGCCCATGCCGCCGCTGCTGCTAAAACTGACCACCTCGAACCTGAAACCCATGAGCTCACTTTTGAAGCATTGTTTTAAGTTCTTGTCAGCACTACGTTTCTATGGATGCCTTTCAAACTAGCAGTGCTGGTTGCGTTTGGCCGTGTTTAGCTGCGTTTGGCCGTGTTTAGCTGCGTTTGGCCGTGTTTGGTTGCGTTTTGCTGTGCTTAACTGTGTTTGGCTGTGCTTGAGTATTGACTGTGTTTGGTTGTGTTTTCCTGTGCTTGGTTGTGTCTGGCCATGTTTGGATGAGCAGCAAGCTGTCGGGGCAGAAGCTGGCAGGAAAGATGCACTCTGACATCTCCAAGCTCTCCACGCTCACCTCCGTGTAAGTCTGTTCTTTAGCCACCTCAAAGGTCTTCCCGACTAACCTCCCTCGTTGCCATGTGTCGGTTTTCCCATTCGCACATGCTTCCATGTGCGATTTGTCCAACTTCTTCAGCCTCTCTCCCCAACCACCTCCCACATTCATATATCAAATGCATTCACAGTGTCTTGTATGACACCATTCAACTTACACACCCACTGCCATTCCTTGCTTGTCTAGTCAATTCAAATCAACCCTTGTTGATGTTTCTCCTTGTTGACTCTCTCCACTTATGGACATAGTGTGCTATCTGTGATTCTCCTCTTGCTCGCTTATCTACTTCGTTCAACTCGACCCGTGGTGCTGACTCAAAACCTTCTTGCGTGTCAGACTCATATACCACTCACCTCTCTCCCTCCTCTTTAAACCTCGTATGTATCCCCCCTCCTTGTCTCCCCGTGCACCCCTTACAGTGATTTCAGCAGCAACCTATTACAGGGGCGTCTGGATGCATTCACAATTGACTTCAAGGCGCTCACCTCGCTCGCAAGCGTGAGTGGCGTGGCCGTGATGTCCCTCGGCAGAAATGCTGAGCAGATGTGAACTTGCAGAGCAGAGCATACAAGCTGGAACAAAAGCAGTCATTTGAGAGGAGGCAGACTGCTCAAGTAGCTCCCACAGGGGGCTGCCTGTCTGTCGCAGCTCTCTACCTACCATGGCACGGATAACCATCTCATTCCTCGTTACCAAATCTCCCCAGATTCACTTCTCACCCACCCATTTGCACCCCTCTCTGCTTCCCCCATACTCCCTCAACTCCCCCCCTCTACCCTGCTCTTCCCTCAAATCCTCTCGTCTCCTCTCAGAACTCTCCACATCTCATCCCATGACGTTATTGCGTTTCCCCCCACCTGTCCCTCCCTCTCAATCCCCGCCTCTCTCTCGCCCATGGCAGCAACTTCAACTTCAACTAGTTTGCTGGGTCCATCCCCTCTGCCCTTGTGGGCATCGCCTCCCTCACGTCATTGTGAGACCTCTTTGCCTTCTGCTTCTCAGGCATTTGCTGCTGCTTCTCTGCCCCATGCCTGTGCTTGTATTACCCCCCGTTGCCTTCGCTCCTATTGCTCCATTGCCTTCGCTCCTGCTGCCTCACTGCATCTACCCTACCTCTCACCTTTACACTCACTTTCCTCCACTCTCAGACACTATCACACTCAAACTCCCACTATTTCCCCGCTCACTCACCTCACCCTCCCCCCCCCCCCCATCAGCGGTGCGAGCTACAACTACCTATACGGCCCCGTGCCCAGGCTCGGCACGACTCTCAAGACCATCGACATGCAGAAGAACTGGCTGTCCGGCACATTCCCCGGCACTGGCTTCCTCTCCTGCTCTGCCTCCTCCAACTGCCTCGCCAACACAGGCGCATGCAACACCACAGGCACCACGCAGCGCCCATTGGCTTCTTGCGCCGTCTGTGACTCTCCCTCTAGGGCTGATCCCATCTTTGCCGGCGGCACCTGTGCTCCCAACGCTGCAAGCCCACTTGCCACCTCCACCACCCCCACCGCCCCGTCTCCCATTCTCCCGCGCTTCTGTGTCGACGTGCCTTTGAACGCAGCGCAGGCCGCCATTGTCCTCTCTGTGAAGACGGATCTCGGGGTCACCTTCACCGAGTGGTCTGCCAGTACCCTTGCAGTATCCCCCAAAGCCAAGTCCGTTTTCAGAGAATTCAGGAACGGGTTCAAGGGTGCTCCCTCTTCCCCCGCTGCTCCCTCTACCGAGTGGGCAGGGATCTTCGGAGTTTCCTGCTGCGAGGCACTGTGCACGCCGACATCTCCAAGCTCACCACACTCACTACGCTGTAAGGCCTTAGGGGTTGGGGCAAACCGCACTCATTCACTGCTGGTGTGACTCTATACTTGACTCGAGCATTCACCTTCCGAGTCAATTAGAACGCCACCGTGGGCACAGGCATTTCTAAAATCACCACACTCACCACACTGTAAGGCTTTAGGGTTCGTAGTTTGAGCTGAAGATATTTGGGGTTGGCGTTTCTGATATGCTTAATGGGGTGTGGTGTGGCACAGGTGACTGGACTGGCATGATTTTCTCTATGTGGGCAGATAACATGTTGTTTGCAACCCGCACTGCAGTCATCTCACCCGTACTCCATATCACAGCCCCAACCCAAATGCCTTCCTGCACATACAGCATGCACTTCGTTTGAGCATTCAACTGATGTCTCCCCATCCCACTTTCTTCACCATTGGCTTTCATTTTTACAATTTCCCCCCGTGCACAGCTACCTAAATGTGTTCCTAGCCAGGCGTGTTCTGCTCTTCTGCCTACATTGTCGTGGGCCTGTGAGTGCTGTGTTCTTGCCCTGCTCTCCTGAATTACCCCGGCTGATGTGCTGCTGCTCCTCTCCTCTCACTGCTACACCCTGCCCGCAAACCCAGGCCCCCAGAACCCAGATTCCTCTTGCGTTTTGTAAAAACCACTGCTACGGTCCTACCCTCATGTATTACTTGAAACCACCACCGTGTCTTCCCCTGCTGCTCCTTCTTCCCATGATGTTCCCTCTTCCCCCGCTGCTCCCTCTGCCGAGTGGGCAGGGATCTTCGGAGTTTCTTGCTGCGAGGCACTGTGCATGCCGGCATCTCCAAGCTCACCACACTCACTGGGCTGTAAGGCCTTAGAGTGACTCTATACTTTACTCAAGCATCCGCCTTGTTAGGGAGTCAATTAGAATGCCACCGTGGGCACAGGCATTTCCAAACTCACCACACTCACCGCACTCTAAGGCCTTGGGATTTGTAGTTCGAACTAAGGATATTAGGGGCTGATGTTCCAAATATGCTCAACGGGGTGTGGCACAGGTGACAGAACAGGACTTTCTCTGTGTAGGCAGATAACACATGTGATGTTTGTAACCAGCACTGCACTCATCTCACCCCAAATGCCTCCCTGCTCAAACAGCATGCCCATTATTTTGAGCATTCTACTGATATCCCTCCATCTCACATTCGAAACCTCCGGTTCTCGTTCTCACCGTGACTCCTCCCCATGCACAGCTACTTGTCATCCAACCTCTTCAACCAGCGCCTCGACTCCTTTGTGGCTCCTATCCTTCGCACGGCCTCTCTCAAGGAGTTGTGAGTGCACCTCATGCCCACGGCCTCTCTTAGAAAGCTGCTACTGCTGCAACTTCCACGCACCGAAGCTTATCAAACCTGTGATTCTCAGTTTAGTGCTTTTTTTCTCTCCAGTACACTAGACGTCCGCAGAACCGCCCAGCCTTAACAAGGCCAGTTCTGGAGGGGCATGCTGCACTTGCACTGGAAATGGCGCAAACTCTACAGGCTGATTGGGAGAACTACACTATGGTTAATCTGTAATGTGTTCGTTGAGGTTTTGCAAGATGATTCGAGCCCAAATGGGTTTCGTGGCCTCTTTGCCATGCTGTACAGTTGTTTCACAAACAGATAAAAAACTCCCCAGCCTATGAGGAGCAGGTGCGCCTTATCGCGATTACTCTGGATATCAATCGTTGCCTTATCCATACACAACTGGGACACTGGGCGAAAACGAATTTTGTTACCGATGTTGCTCATGCAAAACAAAGTCGCAACCCATGCAACGACGCTGTTGTCACGGTGTCAACCCCACAACCCCATTCAGTACCAACCTGCCTGGAGGATTTCAAGGGTCGCTTAGGGATTTCAATATGAAGGTTCAGAAATGGGAGCCAAAGGGGCGTCAAATGTACCAAGTGCTGCTGATATGACCCACAAATTCCGGCATTAAGTGCTGTAGATGTGACCCTGACAATCCTGTGCAAGATCAATGGTACAGGGTCGAAGCTTGCACCTGCTTGAAGGGCTTATAAACTTCTCAACAATTTTATTGCTCCTGTGTCGCGGGGCCTTGCCTTGCTCTGATGCTTGGCACTGGTCTTTCTTTCTCACTGTCTCGTGCATCGCTCGTCCCCGTCTCTGCCATTCTTCATCCAGATTACTCTTGTTCCTTTGACGCATGTGTGTGTGTGCATTGTGTGTGTGCATGTGTGCATGAATGCATCACACATGCATCTCTGCATGTGTGTGTGCCTGTACATGTCCCACTAAGGCAGTGAGCTTCAATTGGCTCTACGGCTCTGTGCCATCCAAGCTCGTAGCCATGGCCGCCCTCTCCAATTTGTAACATCCCGTGCCTAACCCCCTTTGTCTGTTGTCCTATTTGCAAGGGATGTTCGAGCACTCCTACAGAAGAACATAAATATCCCGGATGACCAAACTACTCTCCAACCTGTAGCCCTTTTCACGTCACCATCCACCTCTAATTTTCAAAATCCACCGTTGCTTTGCATCCTTCTGTATCCCGTCCCCCTTTTTGTTCCCACTCCTTTAACATCCTCCCTTTTCTCATTATCCCCTTCTCATCCTTTCTTCCCTCTCTTCGCCTTTTTCCCCAACCACCAGTCGCTTCAGCTACAACTATCTGACAGGCTCGCTGTCCAAGACCGGTGCCACCCTCAAGATTCTCGACACGCAGGCCAACTTCCTCTCGGGCACTTTCCCCGCCATCTCACTCGCTGCCTGCAACGCTCGCCTCAACTGCTTCAGCGACGCTTCAGCTTGCCCCAACCTGGATGAAACGGCACAAAGGACAGTAGCAGGGTGCAACATGTGTGGCTCATTAACAAAGAAGCAGCAGTCGCTGTGTGGAGGAGGCATCTGCTTGCCCATCGTCTCTCCTTCTCTCGCTAAGGTTCCCAACAGTGCTACTGCTCCCATCCTCCCGATGGCATGTGCTGCCGTGCCCCTTGATGCAACCTCTGGTGAGCCCCTTCCCTCCTTCCCTCCTGCTAGGCGTGATTCCGTGAAGTGGCCCCAAATCTCTATCATTTGTTAAAGACTAAGGACGAGGTCTACGAAGATTAGGGGCCTAAATATCTCAAAAACGTTGGGCCTAGTTTCTGGACAGAAAAGTCGAGTTCACAAAAAACGCCGTCGACAAACAGCGCACCGTCAAAACTTCACCAAACTCAGACATGTTGTAGCCCTATTCCGTGGCTACAATTCCCAATTCGAATCGTAAAACAAGGTGAAGTATTTCTTGAGTTATAAATTTCGGCGCACTAGGGGGTATGCTGCCATAGAGACTCAACTCAATCACAATTGTCTCACAATGACCACACAAGAAAGTTGGAGTGGCAATGAGAGGGAAGTGGAGGGTAGTGGAGGACGAGAGGGAAGGTTCCCAAGGAGTCCCCAACCAAGGAAACCCCATAAGCACACCAAATCCCTTCCCTATAGGAACCCCACTTTTACTTTTGTCACTTTCCAACCCATGCCATCCACCTTGCCCAACTTGGCCGCACTTGCCAACCTGGTTTGGCACCTCCCAACCACTTGGCAGCATCTACAGTGATGTTGACGAATTTCCCAACCCCCAAAAGTCTATACCCCTTATGGAGTCAACCCCACAACTTCCCATAGTCACCACAACCAAATATCAAAAGCATACGAACTTCCAACGTTCGTAACTTTCTTGTTCGTGCTCCAATTGAAGAGATACTTGGTTCGTTGGAAAGCTCTCGAGCAGAGGAGTCACTTCAGATATCTTCTCAAGCCAAATAACATTCACACACACTCAGAAAAACCAAACCACATCAAACACAAATTTGTGCACACGCTCACACCACGCATGCAACGCACGAACATGTGATGGGAGGCAGACAGACGTGAATGCAAGTGATAACATCACATAAGATCATTTGCCTTCACATGCACTACCTTCCGCGATCCTTCATTTTGCTTCCCATGAATCTCCCAACCTTCTGCCACACCTGCTTCATTTTCTTTCATATGCCCCATCCATACGGTAGCATCATCGCACCACCACCACCACCACCACCACCACCACCACCACCACCACCACCACCACCGCCGCCGCCGCCGCCACCACCACCACCACCACCACCACCACCACCACCACCGCCACCGCCACCAGCATACTTGTGTGCTGAAAGCCCATTCCATGCGAGCCTATGACGCTGGATCGCCCTTCACCACACTGCAGACCTGCATGCACACACTCAGCATCCTCTCCCCCTCGCCCCTCTACATGCACTCCCACCGACAGTGGCGGCACAGTTGAGTTTAGGGGCGGCTCTCGGGGTCAAAGACACGGATTGGCGCAACAGCAGCAAGTGCAGCATTGAGGGGCAGAGCGCCAACCCCAAGTCGTGGCCGGGCGTGTGGTGCAACGCCAACGGCACCGTCCTCTCCATGTGACCTCCCCTGCCCTAGTCCTCACCTTGCACTGACCCTTTCTCTCCCTCTCTCTCTCTCTCTCTCTCTCTCTCTCTCTCTCTCTCTCTCTCTCTCTCTCTCAAATGGTCCGTCTATCTGATATACACCTGGGTACAAGCCTTTTAAGAGATGCAGCGACATACAAAGTGAGTGTTGAGTGTGTGTGTGCGCTGTAGTGTGGGCTGCCTGCCGTGCAACTGTGCAAGGAGCACCGTGAAGGGCTCCAAACAAGATGCCAAGCGCATCCCCAGGTCATCTTTGTCAACGGGAGTTGGGTATTGGCCCCGTCCTCGCTTGGGCGGAGCCGACTTCGTGGTCGGGTGTGAGGGGAGCAGCCGACCTGCAGCAGTGGGTGAGCTGGTCGACGAGGAGGTCGACCTGCATGGACAACCATAGCACGGGCGCCGACTTCAGGGTGGCGCCGACTTCAGGGAGGTCGACTTGGGAGTCGACCTGCGGAGGACGTCATCTTGGTGACATCAACTTGGGGAAGCCGACTTCGGCGGTCGGCTAACGGACTGCTGGCCGACCTGTTAGTGGTCGACTGGACCTGGTGGTCGACGAAGGAGGGGCCGACGTCGACCTCGACTCAGGACGCCGAACAGTTGGGCGTCGAGTAGCGGGGCGTCAACTTCGTGACGCCAGCTTCGGGTGGCCGACGTGGGTGGTCGGCCGACGACTGTGCTGGTCGACGAGGAGCAGGTAGACCAGGAGTGCTCATAGACGTGGAGCTGGTCGACAAGAGGGGACGTCGACCTGGAGGAGGTCGACCGATGGTGTCGTCGACCTGGTGAGGTCGACGTGGAGGTGGTCGTCGACTTGAAAGGTCGACGGGCACGTACGGGAGCTGCTTGTCGACGTGGTTGCCTGGTCGACCAGGTTACCTGGGTGACGAAGTGCTGCGGAGGAGTGCGATGGTCGCCCAGGCGAAGTTGGCGAGCCCGACCTCGGTGGTGGTATCCCGAGGTCGTCGTGGCGGATCAGAGGCAGTCGTCAGCTCGAGGTTGACGTGGTGTGTGCGCTGTGCAGGTGACAAGACTCTGCACGCCAATCATCTGAGCGGTGAGCGTGGACGGCACACGACTTACCTTTCAGTCAAGTCGACGTAGACACCACTTACCTATTTCGTAGTTGCAGGCCGGCAACTGTGCGGTAGTCGCTATGGTAGGAGCCGTAGGTGACGCGGGGGTGGTGGACACCCTAGAGGCACGGTTGGAGAACGCGAGGAGGAGGCACGAGGCCAACGAGTATGGCGACTTGCCCTGGGCGGTCGTCGAGGCCGGACTCCGCTCCATGTGGGCGACGGAGCACCCGTCTCGACCTGCCTCTCCTTGTCCGGTGAACAACGAAGGCGGCGTCGACGTGGGCGTCAACGCCGGTGGTGGTCAAGTTGGCAGCAGTGCTGGAGGCACGTCGAGGCAGAGAGGTGTGATACACGCCGGTGAAGTCGGCGGCGTTCAGGCGCGAGGGATGCAGTCGTCAGCGGCTGCAGGCTCCTCGCATGGCGACACTGGTGGGCGTCGAAATGGATTGTCGCCGATGTCGGCGACCCAGGTGACGGCGGGCGGGATTGCACCGAGCTACGGCTACTTCAAATTTACGCCGGACAGGATCTCGGTCACCCCTCCGCTGATCGGTCGATCCGACATTCTCACCTGGAAGGAAGCTATCGAGCCCCAGCTGGAGATGGTAGGACTGATCGGCTTCGCCCGAGGGACTGTGGCGACGCTGGATGAGCACCACCCCGACTTACGGGCGGAGTTTCGCGCCGTTCAGCTGTTGACCTTCACGGTCATCTCGCGGTGCTGCTCGCTGGGCGTGCAGATCGCCTTGAAGTGGTGCCGGGAGTACATTGACGCCGGCCACCGGGCGTGGCACTTCAATGAGTCGACGTACCAGGTCACCGACGACCTGTTCATCGCCCAGCAGGAGGGACAGCTGAGGCACCTGCGTATGGGTGACGAGGAGACAGCGACCGACTACTGCAACCGGGCACGGCGAATTCTCGCCACCATCAGGATGGCCGGCGTGCAGTACTCCACGGCGTCGTACATCAACCATGTCATGCAGGGACTCCCTAGCAGCTATAACCTCGTGAAGCGGCTGTCTATGGCGCCGAGCACAAGGGCGACGCTCAACGAGGACAACCTGACCTCGTACATCCTGCATGACGAGACGATGCAGGAGGCTGAGCGATCGCATGAGCTCTTGGCGCAGGCCAACTTCGTCGCCCCGGCGAAGCAAGGAGGCTGACCAGGATAGCGCGGACAGTCTGGTGGCGGCGGGAGCGGTGGCTGGAAGTCGACCAAGGAGGTCGAGAAGAAGTCGACCAAGGACGGCGGTCGAGGAGGAGGAGGTCGACGTCGGGAGTGCTGGATCTGCCACAGCCCCGATCACCTCTCTTCGAGTGTCCCGACCGCAGTGACTCCGACGACGACGACAAGGGCGGCCGTGGGAGGTCGAGCAATCATCGTCCTCGTCGTGGAGGAAATCATCCGCGCAAGGAGAAATAGTCGACCAAAGCATTGACTTCGGCGAAGGACGCCGACTCCGTTGCAGGCGGCAAGGGGCGAGACGACAAGATGGCGTCGTGCTCGCTGGTCGGCGTCGTGGAGCCGACAATCTCTCTGGCGCCGGAGGCCGGAGAGGACTTCCAGGCGGTGGCGGCAGCTGTGCAGGCAAACCCGGCGGTGGTCCTGCTCGACAGCGGTTGCTCCCACCACCTGATGGGAACGAAGGAAGCCTTCGTCGACCTGCAGCCGAGTTGCTCCATCAAGCACGTGCGCGGCTTCAATGGGGCGTTGCAGGACGTTCAGGGCCGTGGCACCGTCGCCCTGCAAGGAGAGGCCGGGAAGGAGGTGCTCATCCCCGACGTGCTGTACGTCCCGGGTGTGCGGGCCAACCTGCTGTCGGCCGGCCAGCTGAAGGAGAATGGCGTGAAGCTGCAGGAGGACGGAGACGGCATGCTGCTCGTCTCGGCAGCCGGGGAGGTGCTCGGTCGGGCGACGTATTCCGGGCATGTCCTCTGCACCGACCTGCGTCCCTGCTCGACGACGTAAACGTCGCCCACGACAGAGGTTGTGGCTCTGCGGACGATCGTCTCGAAGACGAATTCGACGCCGGACCGGATGCATGCGCGGCTTGCACATGTCGCCATGGACACCATACGGAGCTCGGCAAAGATCGAGGTCGCCATTGGGCTGGACCTCAAGTCGGGGACGTACGCCGAATCCCTGTGTGTCTCGTGCGTCAGCGGGAAACTGGTGCGGCACACCTTCCCCGACCAAGGCTCCGACGCCGACAACGTGCTGGCCATCGTGCACATCGACCTGTGCGGGCCGTTCCGCGTGGCTGCCAAGGACGTCAGCCTGTACTTCTTGCTGCTGAAGGACCGCAAGACCCGCTACGTGTGGGTGAAGCCGGTCGCCAAGAAGTCAGATGCGTTGCAGATGTTCGTGCAGTGGCTGGCGGTAGCTGAGCGGCAGACGAAGAAGTCGGTGTTGATGCTGCGCTCTGACCGGGGAGGGGAGTTCCTCGGGAAGCAGTTCACCGACTTCGTGAACGGCAAGGGGATCGTCCACGATCTGACCTGCCCATACACCCTGCAGCTGAACGGCTTGGCGGAGCGGGAGATGAGGACGGTGGTGGAGTCGGTGCGTACAATGCTGCTGCACATGGGCGTGCAGCGCCACTGGTGGCACCTCGCTCTCCGGCAGGCCGTCTGGGTCCGCAACTGCCTTGAGAGGTCGACGCTGCCGCCGGGGACGACACCGCACCAGCTGCTGACCGGGAAGAAGCCCGACTTGTCGCTGGCACGGGTGTGGGGCTGCATGGCGCAGTTCTTAGTCCCCGAGCAGCAACGTGGTGGGAAGCTGCAGCCGAAGGCCAGGTGGGGCCTGTACCTTGGCGTCTCGGCAACGAGCAAGGGCTGGGAGCTCCTCGACGTCGACACCGACCGGGTGGTCACCACGTTGGACGTGGTGTTCTACGAGGAGATGTCGCTGGCCGAGTGGAAGACGGAGCATGGGCCGGTGTCCGGCCGCTCGTCGTCCACCCCGCCCTCTGACATCTCGTCGGCGACGCTGCCGCTGCTTGCCGAGGTCGTTGAGCTTGCTACTGAGGACGTCGAGGACGTCCGCCCTTCTACCCCTTCCCCTCCGACCCCTGCCCCTCCCCTCGTGGCCAACCTGCGTGGGCTGACCTCGGTGTCGGCCTCCGGCGATGAGGGGAGTAGTGGGACGTCGCCTTTGGCCAAGTGCATTGCCGGTGGCCGACGTGATGAGCGGCAGGTCGACGTGGGATTGCAGTCGACGTCGACAGGGGAGGAGCAGGTCGAGAAGCAGGTCGAGGAGCAGCGGCCGACAAAGGAGCAGGCAGCAGTGACACCGACCACGGAGAAGTCGGCAGGGGAGCCGACCACAGGGGAGAAGTCGGCTGGGACGCCGACCACAGGGGAGAAGTCGGCTGGGACGCCGGCTGAGGAGCAGTAGGATGCCGAGGGCAGCGATGACAGCGACGATGGAAGGGACGCCGAGGAGGTCCAGTCGGGACCACGGCGTTCACGCCGGCTTCGGAGGCCACCTGACTTCTTCGTCCCCGCTGCCTTCACCACGGTGTACGACGTGGACGATAATGACGACGACCTGCTGTACGACGACGCCGAGGAGGATGAGGAGTTTCCAGAGCTCGACCACGACATGCTAGCCGACCTCGAGCACCGTTGGGACATCTCGACGATGACGGTGAAGGAGGCGTTGGCAAGCTGGAAGGGCCCGGCGGTGAAGGCCGCCATGGAGGAGGAGATTCGTAGCCTCATCAACATGGGCACTTGGGAGCTGGTCGAACGCCCGCCGGGGGTCAACATCATGAAGAACCGGTGGGTGTTGACGACGAATTACCACGTCGACGACACCGTCGAGCGTGAGAAGGCGAGGCTGGTCGTGAAGGGCTTCACGCAGGTGTACGGCGCCGACTACGACGAGACGTTCGCGCCGGTGGGCAGCTACGTCACGCTGAGGATCTTCCTCAGCATCGTCGCCGTCCTCGATCTTAACCTGATGCAGCTCGACATGAAGAATGCCTTCCTGCAGAGCAAGCTCGACCGGGTACTACTTCAACGATGGATCCGGCCGGGTGTGCAAGCTGAAGAGCCTGTACGGGCTGAAGCAGTCGCCACTGTTGTGGTACTTGGCGCTCAACGATGTGCTGGTCGGCACCGGGTGGAAGAAGAGCCAGGTCGACGAGGCTCTTTACTTCAAAGTCGGCGAGGGTGGAGTGGCCTACTGGGTGCTGGTCTATGTCGACGACCTGCTTGCCGCCAGCAGCAGCGCCGCGATGCTGAGGGAGCTGAAGGAGCTGCTGGAAGCCGCCTTCGAGCTGCGCGAGATCTCGCCGGTGCAGAAGTACCTCGGGCTGGAGATCGTGCGTGACAGGTCGGCGGGGAAGCTGTGGCTGCACCAGCAGGGCTACGCTGACAAGCTGCGTAGGCGCTTCCTTGACGAGGAGCAGACCGGGCGCACTCCGAAGACGCCGGTCTCGGTCGGCGCCTACGCCGAGCTCACCTTAGACGACGAGGAGACGCAGGAGCGACAGGAGGAGGAGTACCGGCAGAAGGTCGGCTCGCTACAGTTCGCGGCGACGACGACGAGGCCGGACATTGCCTTTGCCTGCAGCAAGCTGGGAAGCGGCCTCACGGTGAGGAGCGACCAGCACTGGCGCGAGGTCGCCCGCTGCCTCGCCTACCTCGCCAACACACGTGACTCCGCCCTGGAGTTCGGCGGTGGACCTGAGTTGCTGGAGCTGGTCGGCTACGTGGACGCCGATGACGCCGGTGACAAGCAGAGCAGGACGAGCACGGGTGGCTACGTGTTCGTCTACGGAGGGGCCGCAGTCTCCTGGTCGAGCCAGCGCATCAGGTGCGCGACACTGTCGTCGACCGAGTCTGAGTACGTGGCGACCATTGAAGCTGGCAAGGAGGGACGTCGCCTTCGCTTCCTTCTTGCAGAGTTCCGGCAGCTGGACGCCGGGAAGCCGACCGTCCTGCGCGTGGACAACAAGTCGGCCATCACGGTCGCCGAGGGCATGGGGTTGACAGGCAACCTCAAGCACATGGAGCGGCGACAGGCCTGGCTGCAGCACATGGTGAAGCGCGGGAAGTTCTCGCTGCAGTACATCCCGATCGCTGAGCAGCCGGCCGACTTCCTGACGAAGGCGGTGCAATATCTGGCCTTCAACAGGTGCGCTTGGCCGACGTTGGCAACGAAGTCGACGACGTGCAGCAGTAGGTGCCATGCCCTTTTGCATGGCTGGTGCGGTGGACGACGTGCTATGTGTTGGGTGCACGTCGACGAGCTAGTCTTCGAGCTGTACTGCCGTGTGGGCTGGGTACCCAAGCGTGAACGCGGCAGGGGAGTGTCAACGGGAGTTGGGTATTTGGCCCGTCCTCGCTTGGGCGGAGCCGACTTCGTGGTCGGGTGTGAGGGGAGCAGCCGACCTGCAGCAGTGGGTGAGCTGGTCGACGAGGAGGTCGACCTGCACAGGGGACCACTGCACGGGCGCCGACTTCAGGGTGGCGCCGACTTCAGGGAGGTCGACTTGGGAGTCGACCTGCGGAGGACGTCAACTTGGTGACGTCAACTTGGGGAAGCCGACTTCGGCGGTCAACTAACGGACTGCTGGTCGACCTGTTAGTGGTCGACTGGACCTGGTGGTCGACGAAGGAGGGGCCGACGTCGACCTCGACTCAGGACGCCGAGCAGTTGGGCGTCGAGTAGCGGGGCGTCAACTTCGTGACGCCAGCTTCGGGTGGCCGACGTGGGTGGTCGGCCGACGACTGTGCTGGTCGATGAGGAGCAGGTCGACCAGGAGTGCTGGTCTGTTGAGTGATGCTACCATTCGCATTCACGTCTGTCTGCCTCCCATCATATGTTAGTGCGTTGCATGCGTATTGTGATTGTGTGCAAGAATTTGTGTTTTGTGCGGTTTGGTTTTTCTGAGTGTGTGTGTGTGTGTGTGAATGTTATTTGGCTTGAGCAGATATCTGAAGTGACTCCTCTGCTCAAGAGCTTTCCGAGGAACCAAGTATCGCTTCAATCGGAGCACGAACTAGAAAGTTACGAACGTTGGAGTTCGTATGCTTTTGATATTTGGTTGTGGTGACTATGGGAAGTTGTGGGGTTGACTCAATATGGGGTACAGACTTTTGAGGGTTGGGAAATTCGTCTTTTCTACTGTAGTTGCTGCCAAATGGTTGGGAGAAACCAAACCAGGCTGGCAAGTGTGGCCAAGTTGGGTTGAGGTGGATTGTGGAGGTTGGGATAGTGACAAAGGTCAAAGTTGGGTTGCCTATGGGGAAGGGAATTGTATGGCATGGGGTTTCCTTGGTTGGGGACTCTCTTGGGACCTTCCCTCTCGTCCTCCTCATCCCTTCCACCTGGTTTAGTGCTACTCCAATTCTCTTGTGTGAACTTGTGTGAACTTTGTGATTGAGTTAAGATTCTATGGCAGCATACCCCCTAGTGCGCCGAAATTGATAGCTCAAGAAATACTTCACCTTTTCGCATGATTCAACTTGGGAATTGTAGCAACGGAGTAGAGCTACACTATATTCGAGTTTGATGAAGTTTTGACTGTGAACTTTTCGTCGACGGCGTTTCTTGTGAACTCGACTTTTCTGTTCAGAAACTAGGCCCAACGATGTTGAGATATTTTGGCTACTAATTTTCATAGACTCCGTCCTCAGTCTCTAACATGGTCGACGTGGAGCTGGTTGACCAGAGGGGACGTCGACCTGGAGGAGGTCGACCGATGGTATCATCGACCTGGTGAGGTTGACGTGGAGGTGGTCGTCGACTTGGGAGGTCGACGGGCACGTACGGGAGCTGCTGGTCGACGTGGTTGCCTGGTCGACCAGGTTACCTGGGTGACGAAGTGCTGCGGAGGAGTGCGACGGTCGCCCAGGCAAAGTTGGCGAGCCCGACCTCGGTGGTGGTATCCCGAGGTCGTCGTGGCGGATCAGAGGCAGTCGTCAGCTCGAGGTTGACGTGTTGTGTGCGCTGTGCAGGTGACGAGACTCTGCACGCCAATCATCTGCGCGCAACTGCGAAGCAGGGTGCACTGCTGTCCTGCGTGAGCAACGCTGTTAGCCGTCGACCTGCGACGTTGGCACGCCGTCAACCTTGCCTTGCTGGAGCGCGGTCGACCAAGTCGTGCTGGAACGCGGTCGACCAAGCTGCGCTGGCAGTTGGCCGACCTGAATGCTTGCTCTGATGTAGTCTTGCTATGCCAACTTCATTGTACCAATTGTTCTGAACTTTTCCTAGTGGAACTCTTGCCAACTTTCCCCGTGAACTAGCAAGTAGTGTGCGCACAAGGAAAACGACTAAGGAACAGAGAACGCAGAGATCACACGAGCACACGTGCCTAGCCTGCAGTCTTGCTCCCGTTGTAGCAGTTATCTCCGCAAGCTTAGCTGCCTGGTAAGTCGAGGGTCCAACACTGAAGATTTCCGCGCAGCCACGACTGCCAGCAGCTTGAGGAACATGGGGAAAGCCATGGGTTTCCACAGCCATGGGGACGAAGAGCACGTGCATATGGTCTTTCATTGAGTTTGTGTTTCGACCTGCTAACCCCATGCCTCCTTCTATGCACATGCCTCTTGCTCCCGCTATCCCATGGCAGCACATTGCCCAACAAGGCACTGAGGGGCATCATCCATGCCGACATCTCCAAGCTCACTGCCCTCTCCTACCTGTACGTCCCCCAACCCTCAACCTCTCGACCCCATGCTCCCTTGGGCTCACTGCCCTCTCCTACCTCAACCTTAACCTGAACCCCACGCAACCTGGGGCGTTCTCTGCAAGCATGTTCTCACTTTCACACGCAGGTCACTCGGGTCTACACAACTCTTGCCTTCACAGCCTCTTTTCCAAACTCTGCTCCTTCTTCTCATCCCACATCTCGCCCCTCTTCTTCCTCCTTCCCATGCTCCTCCTCTCCCACGCCCACTCGCAGCGATCTGTCCTACAATCTCTTCTTTGGTCAGCTCCCCAAGTTTGTCTCCACCATGCTGCCACTCACCACCATCGCCACTCTGTGAGTTCACTTTGATAGTTCCCAAACCTTTGACCACCATGGCTACTCTGTGAGTTCACTTTGATAGTTCCCAAACTTTTGACCACCATGGCCCTCTCACCACCACTCCTCTCTTTATCCACTCTCTTCCCCATGTGCGTCTCATGTGCGTCTCATCCACGTGCCTGAGCTTCTCCAGGAATATCAACTCCAACTACCTCTACGACAGTATCCCATCAGCTCTGGTCAACATGCCTAAACTCACAGAACTGTAAGTTTCGCTATGCCCATCCCCAAACACATGCTTATGGTATGTCCACACTCATGTCCATGCCATGATTATGCTATGCCCACGCCACACCCATGCCCAAGCCAAAGCCCACGCCCATGCCTGTGGCCACACCCATGCCCACGACCACACCCATGCCCATGCCCATGCCCATGCCCATTCCCTTCATTGCCTTCATTCCCCCTCCCCTCCCTCCTTCACCGCTCTCCCCTCCTCTTCAACATACGCACAGCCGGGTGGGAGCAAACTACCTGACGGGCACGCTGCCAGCCATGGCCTCGCAGCTGCAGGTGCTGGCCATCGCCAGCAACCTTCTGGCAGGTGCCTTCCCCACGCAGCCCTTCCAGCTGTGCGACATCCGCAGCAGCTGCCTCTCCTCGCCGGGCTCCTGCACCAACGATGCCGGTGTGGCTCAGCGCACCTCCGGCTGTGCCTTCTGTGGTTCCGCCACGGGCGCCCCGCCTTTTTGTGCCGGCACCAGCTGCGCTCCCAATGTTGCTGCTCGCCTTGCTGCCGGCACCGTCAACACCCCTGCTGCCGCCCTCCCAGCAATGTTCTGCCAGGCCGTTATAGTGGATGACAACTCTGGTGAGTCGCACGCCATGAGATGCGACATTCTTCTTAGCGCGTAAAAAATTAGTGAATTACGTTGGATGAAACTGTGATAAGTGGCTTTGAATCGAAAGTTCCAATATCTGGAGCAGTAGTAGCAGCAGCATAAGCATGCGTAGATTCTTACTCTGGCTGGCCTCTCCTCGTTGCTTGGCAGCTTTGAATCATGCCGAGTGTCTGCTTCCCACTTACACCCTTAACAGTGCTCAACCCACCTGATTTTGTTGTGCCTGCTTTGAGTTCTGTGCTCTTCCCACCCACGCCCAGTGTCTGCCTCACTTCACCCTCACCCTCTTCCTTGCCTCTACCATCCACCCTCCTGCTCCTTCCCGTCCCACACACCACGCTCCCCACTGACCCACCCTCTCTTTCCCCATGGCATACTCCCCTGATCCTCCCCCTCCTCCTCCTGCTTTTCTCTTTTCCCATTTCTCCGCCCCCCTCGCCCCTCCCCCCTGCTCCCCCAAGTGCTGGCGCTGCTGGCACTGAGGGCGGGGCTGGGCGTGAGTGCACTCAGCTGGGCGGTGGACTCGCCCTGCATGCTGGCGGGCAACGCCCCCGCGGTGGACAGCTGGACGGGCGTCGTCTGCGACCTCTCGGGCCAAGTCCTTAGCCTGTGCGTGGGGGGTTCATGTGTGTGTGTGGATTAGGTGTGAGCACCGTGTGTGCAATGTGTCTGCTATGTGTGAGCACCGTGTGTGCTATGTGTCTGCTATGTGTGAGCACCGTGTGTGCTATGTGTGTGCTATGTGTGTGCTACGAGTGAGCTATATGTGTGCTATGTGTGTGCTATGTGTGTGCTATGAGTGTGCTATGTGTGTGCTATGTGTGTGCTATGTGTGTGCTATGTGTGTGCTATGTGTGTGCTATGTGTGTGCTATGTGTGTGCTATGGGTGTGCTATGTGTGTGCTATGTGTGTGCTATGTGTGTGCTATGTGTGTGCTATGTGTGTGCTATGTGTGTGAAATGTGCTTTGCGCATGTGGTATGTGTGTGCTTTGCGCATGTGGTATGTTTGTGCTTTGCGCATGTGCTATGTGTGTGTAGTGTGTGTGCTCTGTCTGCACGCATGCTAGCTTGCCTCACAGGGTGCAGATCTCCTGTGCGTTCCGCGTATCTGTTTGCAGAATGAGAGGTTTGCCTTGTTACATACGTATATAACTTCATGTGACATGAGATCCACTCTGAGGTTGGCACAACTCTAGTGGCATGGTTGATAAGGCGCCTCTAGAATCGCCTGGGGCTGGCAACCCGCTTGGAGCATACGCAGTAATGCAGTGAGCAGCGTATGCCTCCGCCACTTGTCATGTCTGTCAGAGCTTAGAAATTATGCATTAGAAATGAGCTTGAAGCTCTTTAAGTACATCCAGAATGGCTGGGGAGGGGAATCGAAGGCTATCTCTAAGGACTGGGGGGTAATCCCAAGGCAATATCAAATTGGTGGGTTGGAGATTGCATGGAAATCATACTTGGGTTTGGTTGGGATGTGGGTGTATACCCAACCAAGTGCAAACTACACTACAGTAGGATATAAGAAGTGCAAGAACAAAATGTGAGATTGAGGGCTAACACTAACAATGCGATTATTGCACCGCTGTCACCATGAGAAGGTACCACCTCCTCCGGTGCTCCATATCTCATCACTGGACGCTGCCTTGCCTCATCCTGCGCTCATACTCCTCTTTCCTTGGTGCCTGGGTGGCATGGGCTTGGTGTCAACACATCACAGTAGGGACTTTTCCAAGATGAAGCTTCGTGGCAGCTTGCATGCCGACATCTCCAAGCTCACTGCGCTCACTAGCCTGTGAGTAATCTGCTTTCACCAACACATGGCCCCGCATCCATCCATCTTCCCTTACCTAACCCCACATTCCATCATACCAATTCAAACGTACTCTGATTCTATGCCATGCCCCTCAAACCTCACAACCTTGCAAGCTCGCAAATTGCAACTCCCCGTCTGTTTCCCCACACTCACCTCTGCTCTCTCCCCTGATGGCTCTCTGCCCCTTTGCCCCTGTGCCCTGTACCCATGTGTCCCTATACCTGTGTGTGCATGTGCCCCACTTGCTCGCAGCAACGTGGCGTCCAACCTCTTGGATGCGCGCATGAGCGAGTGGGCTCTGCCTCTCACCGGCCTCAAGGCACTCAAGCAACTGTCAGTCCTCCAGCCTGCACAACATGTTGCTGCAACATCACATGCCCACCACACCAAACTGCTTTGCACATCTGGATTTCAGTGCTGTGGTTGCTTACCACCGCTCTCATAATTTCTCGTGTCCCACTTTTCTCTTGTGTGACTTCTTCCCCTCTGCCTCTGCCCTCCAGGTCTCTCAACTATAACTGGTTCTCCGGCCCTCTGCCCTCGTTCCTCCTTGCCATGTCCTCTCTCTCAGCCCTGTAAACATCTTCCCTAGAGCAACAAAGATGATCACGCACAAACGCATACACACATGCACGCACTCGCACACACGCACACATACAGACACACACACACAGACACACATACACACAGACACTTCCTCACCCACTCAGGTAGCCTTGCTCATGCATCTCGCTTTCACTAGCCTTGTAATAGTCCACATCCACTGTTCATCTCATAACTCTGTCGCCACTCATACCACCAGTCATAGCGCCCCCCCCCCCCACCCTCCCATTCCCCTGCTTTTCTTATGTCTTCTCTTACTCCCCCTTTTCCCTCTCGCCATCTCTCCTTCCTCCCCACTCTTTTCCCCGGGCCCCCTCACCCTTTCTCCAGCAACGTGCAATTCAACTACCTCATTGGTCCCATCACCGGCACTCCCTCTGCCTCCCTCAAGTCCCTCAACGTCGCCTCCAACCTCCTCACAGGAACCTTCCCAGCATCTTCCACCACCGCATGTGATGCACGTAGCAACTGCCTAGCAGACTCCTCCAAGTGCCTTGCCTCTGGCTCCTCCTCCCAGAGGGACGTTTCTGAATGCTTCCTCTGCGGTGCTGGAAGTTCCGGTGCGGTGATATGCAATGGAGGGGTGCGCGCGCCTGACACCACCGGGCCAGTGGCAGCACTCACACCTAATAGTGCCTCAGATGCTATGCTGCCTATGCAGTGCTCGGGTGCTCGCATGGACGCCACAGCAGGTGCGCCCCTGCCCACCTTCCAATTTCTACTTGTCAAAGAAACCCGAATACCTCAACTCTCCACTATGCTTGTGTGTCCTGCTTGTCCTTTTCAATCCATCTCATCCATACGGTGTCACTGCTTCCTCCCCTCCATCCCTCAACATCTGGCCTATCTCCACCTTCACTCCCCTCCCTTTCCCCCATCTCCACCCTCCAGTATCAGTTCTTGGGAGTCTCAAGGCGGTGCTGGGAGTGCCTATCCCGGCCTGGGGAGTGAACTCCTTGTGCACAGTAACCCCTGTGGCTTCCGAGGACATGCTCTACGCTCTTTGGCCAGGGGACACGGAAGGCGTGCAGTGCAGCCCGGCCGGTGCTGTGACGGGAGTCAACCTCAACACGCGCCAGCTGGCTGGGTCCATGCTTGCAGATATTTCCAAGCTCACTGCGCTCAATATCCTGTAAGCCACTGCTTTGTAAGCCACTGCTTTTTAAGCCAACTACTCTGCAATGTCCCTATCCCTCCACCATTCCCTGCACCTCTCCCCCTTCCTGCCTTCCCTTCTTCCTGCCTTTCCTTCTTCCTGCCTTCCTCCTTCCTGCCTTGCCCCTTCGTGCCTTCCCCCCTTCCTATGTTTCCCCATTTCCTGCCCTTACCCGTCCCACATTCCTTTCAATCCATTCCCCTGTGCCTTCTCTCCTACGCCCCTCTCGGCCTTCATCCCCAGGGTCCTCCACTCAAACTTCTTGGCTGGTCGCCTGGATGCCTTCACCGCGCCCTTCACCGCCCTGACCAAGCTGGAGAACCTGTATGCCTCTCTTTTCAGCACTCCATTCCTTCCTATTTGTGCTCCTCTCGAATGGACATTCCTTTGAATTAAGCTGGGGTGGCCCGGTGGGTACAAAAGAAATGTGAAGGGGTGTAGCAGAATTCTTTCTACAGAGCAAGTCAAATCTTGGTCCTCTTGGCCCCCTCTTGCGTTGATATGCCGTGTGTGCCCTCTTTCGCCTTCCGTGCGTGCTTGAAGCACCTCAGACCTCAGCAGCACTCATATGGGCCCACAAGTGCAATAATCCTGAGCCGATAATCCTCACCCTTTCCCTCAATTCCTTCCCATCCACCTGCACATCCACCCCTTCCCCCCATCCTCTTCCTTGTGTGCCGTGCAGTCAACTGCACTAAAACTACCTGCTTGGGCCAATCCCCTCAGCTCTGATCGGCCTCAAGAGCCTCTCCAAGCTGTGAGATGACCACGTTTACATCCTTTTGTCCATGCCATGCCATGCCAGGCTGTGTTCTGTCATACCCTCTCGTTGGCCATCATGACATGTGTTCACATGCCACTTCAGCTACTTCCTCTACCTCACACTAAGGAGTATATGCCTCTGTGTTCCCTTCTACATCTGCTGCATTAACCTGAGAACATGATGCACCTTTGTACCCAAAACTTCTTGCCCTGCAATTTCACTGCTTCATCTATCTATTGGACTCATTCCAAGCCCCCGCTCCCCACCACACTTGCGTAATCCCACAGGAGTCTGGGCTCCAACTACCTCACTGGGAGCATGCCAGTGCCAGGCACTGCCATGAAGCACCTGGACCTCGAAAACAACTACCTCATGGGAACCTTCCCAACAGGTTCCTGGCAGTTCTGCTCAGCACGCATCAACTATTTCGCGAATGCGGCTGCTTGCACGGCGGACGGAGGCAACGGGGTTGTCCAGAGAGACACATGCAGTATCTGCGGCAGTGCCGATGGCACGGGGGTGTTGTGTGGCGGCGGTGGTGCGTCCACCTGCCAGCCCACAGCTGCTCCCCTCTCGTCCCTCTCCGCGCTCAACAGCCCCTCTGCCCTTGCGCTCCCTCTGGCGTGCTCCTTGCTGCCGGCTGTACCCGTCAACTCTACTGCCAGTAAGACACCCCGGGGCACGGGCGCTGGCATTGCATGGGGCCACGCCCCACCCTACACTTCCAAATCTGCACGGGCACGGGTGGCATGGAGTTTTTCACCTTTATGACCTGCCTGGCTGCATTTTCCTTTCTCATTCCGCGCACACGCTCAGCTCACTGGGTCATTCCACCTTGACCTCTCTCTCCTGGTTCAAAGCTCACTCCTCGCTCAATGATCCCAGTTCAATCCACGTTCTCTTCATCATCCCCTTTTCTCCCCGACCCATAGTGGCAGCGCTGCTGAGCATCAAGACAGCCTTGGGAGTGACGCACACAGGGTGGGCGGCAAACGCTGTCTATACGCTGGCAGGGACAGCTGGCACTGTAGCATGTGGGAGCTTGACGGGTGTGGAGTGTGACTCAGCTAGCAACCCTGTCAAGATGTGAGCACTCCATTCATCCTGTGCAGTATTCATTAACTAGAATGCGCTTTGTGCAGGAGAGCATGTTCTGCGGTAAGGTGTAATAGTAGTGGTGGTGGCAGCCTCTCCACCTCCCCCGTTTGCTGGAGAAGTCACTTCTGTACCTTCTAGCAGCCAAGATGTGTTGTGTGCTGGAAAACCTTGGAAGAACCAGGCAATCCTCGGAAGGAATGAGGTGCAGAAAACACGAGGTTTAGGGGTGCAGAAGGTCAGCAATAATGACAGTTTTAGTGCAAATAGTGGGTCTTCCCTTCTACTTCGTTGCCCTCGTTCACAACACCTTTTCTCATTTCCAATCTTAGAGCCTTACTTATTCTGTGGCTCTTTGTTTATTATCCCTTGATTATTTTTTTCCTGTTTCCCCCCTCCCCCCCCCCCCCCACTCTTCACCTCCCCCCTTTCCCCCTCCCTGCCCGATCCCCTCCCCCCACCCCCCCTTGATCCTTCCGATGTCTACGTTTCTGTTGCTTGCCCACCTGTGCCAGCACTCTCAACAACCAGCAGCTGTTTGGAGCGCTCCCTGGTTACGTCACCAAACTCATTGCGCTCACTCACCTGTGAGTGCATGCATATACACTTGCCTTGCATACTTGTGAGCACATTTTTGTTCATGCATGCACACGCAAGCACGTGAGCGAATGTATGTATGCTCCTACAGTTCAAGTGCAAACCATTATCATTTACACAGACAGAACAACCAACTTGTACACATGTATCCCTCATTCTCATGTATTCAAGCAACCATGCGACGTAAACATTTTCTCATCCACCTGCCCGCACCAATGCATATGATGACCCAACCTTTTGTTTCTAATCCTCCTATCCTTTCTAGTCTAATCATCTTTCTGTACAGACTTGTGTTGCACCCACCTCTACCCAATTCCTAGTTCCATCCCTTCTCCCTTCATGCCATCCTCTCTCTCTCTCTCTCTCTCCATTTCTTTTCCCCCCTATGTCCCCTTGTACCCTACCTGTACATCCCCTTGTGGCCTCCCTGTGTCCCCCCTGTGTTCCCCCTGTGTCCCCCCTATGTCCCTCTGTGCCCTCCCGTGTATCCCTGTGCACCTGCCGCGTTCCCCCTCACAGCAACCTGCAGTCCAACCTGTTCAGGGCACGCCTTGAAGATCTTGCGCTGAGGCTTCCTGCCCTCACCAACCTGGCAGTGCTGTGAGTCTCTTGCCACCCTTGCAGTCCCAGTGCTCCTCCCTGTTCAAACAAGCCTTGCATGCATGCACGGCTGCCATCCAACCGTGAACCTAGTGGTCTATTGCCCTCCTCGCAATCTTTCACCAGGCACAATTTTCCAGCAATGACACATCCGTTGCTATTGGTTACTGTGAACCTCTTTTATGTCCATCCTATGTTCCTGCTTTTTTACCCTCTTACGTGTGTGTCATCTGTGATCCTCTGTTCGTCTCCGCACCTACTGCACTCCCCTCTGCCCCTCTCTGCACTCCCCTGCACCCTCGACATCCACCCACCGCCAGCCTGCTGGACTACAACTGGTTCAAGGGCTTGCTGCCCCCGCCTCTCCTCGCCATGACCAAACTCACCCGCCTGTCAGTGCCGTACCCCATTCTGCATGCTCCATGCCGCATACATGCTGTATGCCGATGGCCCATGCCCCGTGCACCATATTCATGCCCCTGCCACACACCCCATGCCCCATGCTCCATGCCACATGCCATGGCCTACCCTATACCAATAAATTATATCTCACTCTTTATTTGCTGTCAAACGCCTTACACACCATCTCACCCAACTCCTACTCATTCTATATCATTATTGGTTTGGGTCCACCCACTTATTTTGCTACAACCTCTCTCTCACAACCTTTCATTTCTCCTAACCACACAAACCCACTCCCCCTCCACCTCTAACACTGTTGCAATCCAGGAGCATGGCGTACAACTACCTGACATACCGCGTGCCACCGGTGTCAGCATCGCTCAAGGCAATCGTCCTCTCCAACAACTTCCTCTCGGGCACCTTCCCTGCGTCTCTGCTGCCAACTGCTTCACCAGCGCCACCTCCTGCAACACTCCTACCGAGCAAGGCAATATGGCACAGCGAGCGTCGTCGTGTGATATCTGCGGCACTGCGAGTGGTCAGGGCATGCTGTGCGGCGGCATAGGGGTGTGCACGCCCAATGCTGCTGCACCGTTCACGGCCAAGACGCCGAATACTGCTGCTGCTGCTGTTCTCCCCATGGCTTGCGTTGGTGAGTGTTGCTTCAGCCTGTTGCTGGGAAAAGATAGAATAATGTTCCAATCTTGCCGCATTCTCCCGTTTTCTACATGCCAGCATTCGCTGCTGCTGCTGCTTGCCTGACTGTCCATCTCCTCTTTTCCCTTCTCCCATGCCCCTGCTTCACAGACCTTGTGTGCGCTGCAGGTGCACCGGTTGCCTGCCCCACTGACTGGTGCTGTGAAGGGCTCAAGTGTGCAACACCTGCCATCTCCAACTGCATTGGCTACCTCTGTACTCCTTAAGAAAGATGATGCATTGTGTGGCGCTGCCGTTGCTTTATTTTTTTGTTTAATGCTTTGATTGTACGGTGGACTACGCTGATAAGCCAAGACTATTTGTTAGAGGCACAGGGGTTCGGTGGGATGGGAACAGGGTAGTTGCAAAACAGCAGATTAAGTTTTGTTTTTTCAGCAATTCAGGCCTGAATCTTTCAACAATAGTTATGTAAGTTATTTGACAAATATTTTGAACCTTTGTTCATCACAGATCTGGTATTAAGCCTGTTTGGTAGTATTTATGATTGAACAATGTTGATATATATTTTCTCAGTCACAGTCATGCTAAACCCGTGGATCAAGTCATGCTCCATCCCAATTTGCATTATCCCCCAACCATCACCTCCCCTCCTCCCCATCGTGCTCTCCTTCCCTCCCAGCAACCTTTATTGACAAGAGAAAGAAGAGGCATGCGAGTGAGACGAGTAAGATGTGAGCAACATGAAGGAAAACGAGCTGCAGGCATGAGCGGAGGAAAGGCCAGCAACGAGGCTGCTGCATGGATCTGCAGTTCCTATAAGCTGTGTGTTTGGCTTACAGGGCGGTGAGCTCTGGTAGGGAGGCGATGAATGCGGGAATGGATCCAGAAAACCAGTTGTAGCTAAAGAAGCTGGGGGATAGAGGAGCAGGAATCCACCACGAGAGAAGTGAATGAGAGGTTCACGTAAACTGCGTTCAAGGAACGGCCAGAGGGAGGAATGGCGACATAATTAACTACACAACCATACACTATACTGTACATTACCAGGTATTAGAACAATTTTACAGCTCGTGGAGAGGACGGTACGTACAATGCTTTTAGCGTGGTCACGTCTTTGATTTGTGCGGCAAACACTGCGAGACTGCCCGTAAAAAGGTTGTAGCCGAAATCCCTAATGCAGGTGGGGGAGAAACAGTTTTGTGAACCTCTCATTCTCTTTCGCAGTTTCTCGCATGCATGTGTGCATGAATAATCACATTTTCTGGTGGGTGAAGGATGGCCGTCCACCATGGACATATGCTGAGAGCAACGGATGTGTCAGTCCATCAGTCCATGTCCCTTTTAATCTCACTCAACTTGTGCCCAAATGAGTTGCCGTGAGACGGCCGCCAGTGGCAGCAGGCTGGTCTTCCCATATGCAATCATTCAGCCTGTTATTTGCTCCATTTGCATTGCGAACAGTGTGTTGTGTATGTGTGTGTGTGTTACAGATTCAAACGTGTGAACTCCCTGATTCACCCTTACAGGTAAGTGAGCGCTGTGAAATTGAAGATGTCCGAATAAAGGGACCCATTTAGTCTCTGACACGCCACCGAGCTGTAGGGGGTGATGGGGAGAGACAGAGCGTTGGGTGTGCGAGGAATATGGCAGAGGCCAGCTGAGAGGTCACCTTTCTGTTCCCCCCCTCCCCACGTCCCTCCTCCCCACCCACTCCCCCTTCCACTATCAGTTGTGTCCCTTTAGCAATGAAATCCTCTGTGAAAAGTCAAGAATCAACACTTCAAGCACAATTGGCCTGGAGAAGTATCAGAGGTTTGGATTGGTTAGCAATATTTCATGTTCTGTGCAATTCTCACCCCATGCTTTCCTGTGTCAGTGCCACATTTCCCCACTACCCCGCTACCCCACAACCCCACTACCCTGCTACCCACTACCTCGCTAACCCACGACCCTGCTACCCTGCTACCCACTCACATGGACTCCACGGAGCTGGCAAGATTGCAGAAAACGCCAGTCCACTCGTTCTGGAGGGGCGTTAACTTCCCAGTGAGGCGGCAGGGGTTAGAGGAGGCCCACGTGGTGAGGGTCACACCCAGAGCAGTCTTCAATGCCATCATTGCATTGGCTGCCGAGAGGTGGGGGAGGATCTGTATAATTCCACTACTATAGCAGCTTGATAGAGCTTGAAAGCACGATTCCAACGCACCAAAGATTACAGGAAACGGTCCACTATAGCCAGAATTACACACAAACATAGGAGTGATAATGACTTGGATTATTTCTGGTTTGTGCTCTCTGGTTTTATACGAGGACGCAATACAAAAATAAAAGCACACAAGATAGTGTTGACCCGGGTCGCACGTTGAATTTCGTCGACGCGAAATTCGGAGCCTTGAATTTCGCCGAGCGAATTCCATTGACTGGAATTCCGTAGACGAGAATTTCCGCAACAAGAATTCCGTCAACCACCGACTGTAACTCCCGTGCGAATTCCGTTGACTCCGACACTTCGCTGCCAAGTTTCAAACCGAACGCGACCCGGGTTCGATTTCGCCAAACTGTCCCCAATCTGTCCCCAAACTGTCCCCAATCTGTCCTGACAAGACACTTTCGAGACACTTGAATCAAAAGGTCTCCAGTTCAAAACTCGTGTGCACCATAACCAGCGCCTTAGCAGAAACTGTCCTGAATCTGTCCTGAGACAGTTTCAGGACAGATTTGAAGGTCACGAGTTCGAATCCCAGTGCAGACATTTTGTTGCTCATGGCAGCATTTCCTTCTAACACGTCCCCTTGCTGTCAGGAGCACGCTGGACCAGCCCGGCTGCTGCACAGCATCGGTTGAAGGCTGCCTTGTCGAGCCGCTTCGTGAAGAAGTCCGCGGGCTGCGCCGTTGTAGGGATGTTCTGCACCTCCAACTTCTTCATGCGCACCATGTCCTGTAGCCACATGTGGCGACGGTCAACATGCTTGATGCGCCCCTGCAGCCCGCCCGCCTGGCTGAGCTGCACCGCTGACATGTTGTCAACATAGAGGGTGGTGGGGACACCCTTCTTGAGCAGTTGAAACTCCCACAGTAGGAACCTTAGCTTGCGCCCCTCCTTTCCCGCTTCCACCGCAGCCACAAGCTCGCTCTCGGTGGAGGAAAGTTTGGTCGCACCCTGTAGCTTCTTGGCCTGCCATGAAACGGCAGCTCCGCCAAGCTTGAAGAGGTAGCCTCCGTGGACGACCAGTTCTCCTTGTTGCCTACATCATCCGCGTCCGCATACCCTAGGAGAGTCAAACTCTCTGGTCCTCCCTTGAACAGCAGCCCCTTGACCGGTGAGGCAGCCCATTAGGAGAGTGTGCGGAAGAGCTCATGCCGATGCATATCGGTCCTGAGGTGTGCACCTGCTGCAAAGCGACTGCATGCAAAAGAGAGGTCAGGACGGGTTGAGATGGCTGCAAACTGCACCATGCCGAGAATTGACAAGTACTCGGTCATGGTACGATTGGCAAACTGCCCGGCATCCTGCTTGGCAAAGCTGGCAGAGGAGAGAGGAGTGATCGGCTGCTTCTTTGGTGGCGCCCCCTTGAAGAACCGCTGCTACACCTTCGCCACGTACGCATTCTGGTGCAGGAAGAGTGTCCTGTTGGGGCGATCTCGCTCAATCTGCAGTCCCAGGTAGCGCTCCACTGGCTCCACCTCACGGAGCTGAAACGCCTTGGCTAGCAGCCCCTTCAAGTCCTGCAGAAGCTGCTGGTCTTCACTTGGCGCTAGCAGGTCATCCACGTAGATTAGCAGCCACACGCGCTTCCCGCTTTTCCCATCCTTGTAGTATAGGGCCTGGTCCACAAGGCTCTTCTTGTACCCCTCCACAAGGAGCACCTTGTCCAGCTCCTTGTACCACAGAAGGGGACTCTGCTTTAGCCCGTAAAGGTTTTTCTGCAGGAGGCACGCCTTGCTGCTACCGTCGGTGAAGTAAGGCGGCTGCTGCATGTAGATCTTGTGGTCGATGGTGCCGTGAAGAAATGCATTCTTCACATCAAGCTGCAGCCAATCCAGGTCCATAGCTGCTGCGATTGAGAGGAGCACGCGAACGGTGGTGTAGCTGCCAACAGGAGCGTAAGTGTCGTCGTAGTCAATGCCGAATCGCAGGCTAAAGCCCTTAGCCACTAGCCTGGCCTTGTACTTCTCCACGGTGCCATCAGGCCGCAGCTTCTTCTTCAGCAGCCACTTGACGCCAACGGTTTTGCGACCTTCACGTAGGTCAGCGAACGTCCAAGTGCCTTGCTCATCAAGGCTCTCCATCTCCTTCATAGCAGCCCACCATTCCTTGCCTTCAGGTCCGGTCAACGCAGCTGCCAGGTCGAGGATGACACCTCCCCAAGCGCCTTCCTCCTCCTCATCCTCGTCCGGGTATACTTCGTCATCGCTGTCCGTGTCGCACTCGTCCTCAGCAAGGTATGCCACGTCGTACGGGTTGTCCTCATCATCCGCATCCAGGGCCGTCATAGCTGATGGCTGAAATCGTACGGGTGGCACCCCCTTGTTAGGCCTGTAGGAGCGACGTGGGGGTGGTGGAATGGGCTGGAAGGGGGGAACTGCAGGTGAAGGCTCATGCTCATGGGCCATTGGTGACTGCTCATCCACTGCTACTTCTTCTTCTTCCTCCTCGTGATCAGCCATGCTAGTGTCAACCTCCAGAGGACCATCCTCTGGTCCTACAGGCGCCGAATCAGCAACGGAGGGTGGACCAGGAGGAGTGTCCAGTTCGCTAACCAACTGGGCTGAAAGGGCATGTTTCCATAGTGGGTCAGCGCACCCATACCCCCCCAGGACGACACCTGTAGCCCTTAGGGAGACCACTTTGGGCCATTCCAGTGTCCACTTCCAACATTCCCCTCACTGGGAGGGCCCACCACTAGGGCACAGGAAGTCGCCAACAGCAGGAATCGAACCCTGGTCCTCCACGCTCACCGCACCATGTCCAGTTCGTTAACCAATTGGGCTAAAATGGCATGTTTCCATAGTGGGTCAGCGCACCCATACCCCCCCAGGACGACACCTGTAGCCCTTAGGGAGACCACTTTGGGCCATTCCAGTGTCCACTTCCAACAAGGAGGAGGTGCAGTAGGTGCCTTGCTGCCCAAAGGGCCCACCGAGCGTTCAAGGGGTTTCTCGCCCCCTTGTACAGACGGTACTGGGACCACGATGACGGTACGTGGTGGCGGCGGATTCTGCTCGGGGTCGTGGGGCTCAGGGAATAGAGATGGGACTGAAGCAAAGGGTGGTGTGGGCTGGTCATTCCCGTCACCCACGCGTGCACGCCACTTCTGCCACCGTTCAAGTGACGTGTCCTCGTAAAAACGTGCATCCCGGGTGATGACCATGCGCTTTGACTCAACATCCACCACACGCCATCCCTTACTTTCCATGCTCATGCCCAAATGAATGCCCCAACGAGTCTTGCTTGCAAGCTTCCCCTCACGCTCATGCTCAGGAATGAGGTACTGAAACATGCACCCGAACACACGGACCATGGACACATCGGGCTTGACTTTGAACACCACCAAATGAGGGGTCACACCATGGGGCAGGGTGGATTGGTGCACACGGTTTACCACCCACAAGAACTGCTGGAAAGCGAAGTGCCACCAGTGTGCTTTCACCCCTATGTGCCCCAACATCACACGCATGCCCTCGGTTACCGTACGGTTGCGGCGTTCAGCCACACCATTCTGCTGGGGGGTCGAGGGGCAGGAGAGTTGATGTAAAATTCCTCGTTGCTTCAGCAGCAACAGAAACTCATTCGACATAAACTCCCCTCCCCGGTCCGACCGCAACACCTTCAGCGTCATGCCGGTTTGGCGTTCAGCTCCGGGAAGCCATTCCTTGAAGGCAGCAAGCGCGTCGCTCTTCAGCTTCAACGTCTTCCCCCAGGTGTAACGTGAGGCATGGTCGACAAAAAGAATGTAGTACCTGCTTCCATCCATGGCTAGGGTCTGAAATGGACCGCACACGTCAGTATGGACCAGCCCAAGTATCTGCTGCTCTCGCTCGCCGTGCAGCGGAAATGATTCACGAGTGAGTTTGGCTTCATGGCAGGAGGTGCACGGCATATCCTCAACTCCTTTCTCCAGATCCATACCGAACACGCCACCGCTCGTGGCTGTCCGCTTCACCGCATCGAAGTGGACGTGCCCAAGGCGAGCGTGCCACAGGTTGGGCGTTGCCTTGGAGCCCACCGCGTACGTCTTGAGGCTGGCCGCTCCATCTTTAGCTCCCGACTTGTTTGACGCAACATCAGCAATCTCCTTCGCCGTGCCGTTGCTTGCCGTTGCAGCCGCCGTGCCGTTGCATGCTGATGCAGCCCCTGTGCCGTTGCTCGCCGCTCCACCCGCCATATCGGTGCATGCCGCTGCAGCCGCCATGCCGTTGCATGCCGCTGCAGCTGTTGCACCGTTCCTTGCTGGCCCTGGTTTCAGGTCAAGGCAGTGAAGGCGATGGCGGTATCGTGCCGTTGCAGCCACTTGACCTCCTGATGCGATGATGCGAGTGACACCTTCCTCGGTTTGCAGCTTTGCTCCCTTGTCCAAGAGCTGCCCAGGGGAGACCAAGTTGGCCTTCATTCCTGGCACAAAGAGGACATCATGTAGGGTCACACGCAAGCTGTTAGTGCCCTTCAGCAAAACCTCACCAACACCGGCAACTTCCTGCATAGAACCATCAAACCCTTTGACTGATTTCGTTGCAGATGGGTCACGGATCACCGTGAACCACTCCTTGCGGCCGGTCATGTGTTGGGAGCATCCTGAGTCAAGGAACCACAAGTCCTTGTCGTCGGCCAGCAACTTTGCAGCCGAACACGCGACGGTGAGCGCCACGCCCTTCCCGTCTCCTTCAGCTACGTTCGCGGCTGCCGCGGGCGTTGTATCTTTCTTCTTGTTGGGGCACTTGGCAGCCATGTGCCCCTCCTCATTGCAGTTGTAGCAGCGCCCCTTGAAGGGGGCTCGCTTCTTCTCCCGCTTGCCATCCTTTTTCTTATCCGTCTGCTCCCTTCCCCCTTTTCCTTCCTTCCCGTTGACCCCCGTTGTAGCCACGATGGTGTTGACAGCGCCCGAGAAAGCAGATGCATCGCTGGTGATCTGCTTGTAACTCTGTTCGATGGAGAGATTCTGCTCCTCCATCAACACCTCGCTGCACACGCGTTCCACCGTCATGTCAGGGCTGGAAATTTCGAGCTTGCGGCGAAGAAATCCGTACTCCGATGGTAGGCCCTTCAGCACGTGGGCAGCAAACGTGGCCATGTGGACCTCCTGTCCAATGGTCAGCAGCTCCGCTCGGATGGCGCGGGCCCTATTGCAGTAGGATTCCACTGTCTCATCGTCTCCCTTCCTGAGTTGGGCTAACTGGGTCTGAAGTAGGGAAGCGTGGAGGGCATCACGAACTTGATAAGTAGAGAAGATATATGCCCATGCTAGCTGTCCGGCTTTCTCTTGCTAAGAGAAACCAGAGATGGACATTCGGATGGGTGGAGAAACACATCGGTTCAGCACCATAAATGCAAGCATTTGGCTCTTTGCGTACTCCCTTCGTTGCAAGGGGTTGTTTGGGGCCGGGCTTGGTGCTGTCCCGTTGCAAAACTGCCACACATCAGCACACTAGAGCTGAGGTCGGATGGCGCTGACCCACGCGGTAAGGTCGTGCCTTCCCTCCAGCAGCGGCGTCATCGAGATGTGCCCAACTCCAAACTTGAATTGGCCATAGCTCGCCCCGATCATTCCCGTGTCAATGGTCGGTGCAAGAGCTCCTCCACCAATGCCCACAGCACTTGGAGCCTCGTGCACAGCTCCTCCTTCACCAGTTCCTCCTTGCTGGCTGCTCGCAGGTGCTTGCTCCGCCGCGCGCTCCCGAACCATGCGTAGTAGACAACCATCCATAATGAGGTCGACCTCCTCATCACGCAAGTGAGGGTGGTGCTCACGAACGGGCGCCTCTGGCTCCTGACGGGCATTCAGACCCTCAGCGCTCGTTAACCACTCCATGCGCAGTCAAAACGAGCGTCGGCCACACCAACGTGGGAACGAAGTGATGGGAGGACAAAATCAAGCCGCTAGTTGGATCGACGCAGATAACGCAGCTCTGATACCATGTAGAATTCCACTACTATAGCAGCTTGATAGAGCTTGAAAGCACGATTCCAACGCACCAAAGATTGTAGGAAACGGTCCACTATAGCCAAAGTTACACACAAACATAGGAGTGATAATGACTTGGATGATTTCTGGTTTGTGCTCTCTGGTTTTATACTAGGACGCAATACAAAAATAAAAGCACACAAGATAGTGTCGACCCGGGTCGCACGTTGAATTTCATCGACGCGAAATTCGGAACCTTGAATTTCGCCGAGCGAATTCCATTGACTGGAATTCCGTAGACGAGAATTTTCGCGACAAGAATTCCGTCGTGTCAGAACATTATATCTTATACATTTCTGTAGGCTGTAGTGGGGTAGCCCATAAGGGAATACAACCCAATTAGGGTTAGTACTTGTACCCGACTGTTTCAAAGTTCATTCATTCTCGTTTCAGTTTTCTCATGGTATCGAGCAGGTTCCCTCGTGGGAACTGTTCATAGGGCCCACCAACTCGATATTTATTTTTTCCCTGCCCGGAGCGCGCTCAGCACTAGCCCGAGTCGCGCTCCCCTTTCTCGACCCAGTCGCGCCGCCCTTGCGGCCCCGATCAGCTGCCTTAGCGGCCCCGTCGCCTACCTTGCGGCCCTCGCGCCGCCCTTCCTGGCCCCGACCCGCCGCCCTGCGGCCTCGTCGCCTACCCCGCGGCCCTCGCGCCGCCCTTTCCCGGCCCCGATACGCCGCCCTGCGGCCCTCGCGCCGCCCTGCGGCCCTGACGCCGCCCCTTTACCTGAGGCCCCGGCGCCTACCTGCGGCCCCGCCGCCCTTACCTGCGGGCCCGGCGCCTACCTGCCGGCCCTGCCGCCCTTACCGGAGGCCCCGGCGCCTACCTACGGCCCCGCCACCTCCCTGCGGCCACGCCGCCCTTACATGCAGCCCCGGCGCCTACCTGCTGGCCCCGCCACCTACCTGCGGCCCCGCCGCCCTTACCTGAGGCCCCGGCGCCTACCTGCGGCCCTGCCACCTCCCTGCGGCCCCGCCGCCCTTACCTGCGGCCCCGGCGCCTACCTGCTGGCCCCGCCACCTACCTGCGGCCCCGCCGCCCTTACCTGCAGCCCCGCCGCCCTTACCTGCGGCCCCGCCACCTACCTGCTGGCCCCGCCGCCTCCCTGCGGCCCCGCCACCCTTTCCCAGCCCCGGCGCGAACCTGTACGGCCCAGGCGCCGCCTCTGCCAGCCGCGTCGCCATCCCCTCGTGGCCCCGCAGCCACCACTACGGCGCAGGCACCGTCGCCTACTGCAGCGCCGCCCGCCATCCGAGCCGCCCGAGCCGCCACACCCAGCCGAGCAGCCGACCGCCGCGCCGCCCTGCAGCCCAACCGCCGAGCCACCCAGCAGTCGAGTAGCCGAGCCGCCGAGCCGCCCTGCAGCCGAGCCGCCCAGCCGCCCAGCAGCCGAGCCGCCCAGCCGCCCAGCCGCCGAGCCGCCCAGCAGCCGAGCCGCCCAGCAACCGAGCCGCCCAGCAGCCGAGCCGCCCAGCAGCCGAGCCGCCGAGCCGCCCTACAGCCAAGCTGCGTGCACCGCCGAGCCGCCCGAGCAGCCCTGTCCGGTAAGAGCAGCGCCTCTCACTGCACTGCCCTTACCCTACTGTTTGTGCTGCTAGTCTACTGCTGTCATGGCTACCCCTAGTGTCCTCGCTTTTGACGCTGAGGGTCGGGCCATTGACTTTGACGTCTGGATAGATGACCTGCAGCTTTTCTTACAGTGCGATAGGGCAGACGGCCTCTCTCTCTTTGACCTCACCTTTGGTGCCTCTCATGCCCCTGCTGCTGATGCTGACGCCACTGTTCGCTCCCAGTGGGCCACGCGCGATGCTGCTCCACGTCTTGCTGTGCGTCGCCACCTCCCTACCTCTGAGCGTGCGCACTTTAGTCAGTACAAGAGTGCTCAGACCTTGTACGACGCTATAGATGCACGCTACTCCTCCACTGCCACTGATGCACTAAGCCGTCTCATTCTACCGTACCTCTTCCCTGACCTTGCTGCCTTTCCCACAGTCACTGACCTCATTACGCACCTCCGCACTAGTGACACTCGCTACCGCGCTGCCCTTCCTGCTGAGTTCTGCGCCAAGAACCCCCCCCCCCCCCATGTATATCACCCTCTACTGCATAGTCACCCGGCTCCCTGACTCCCTTCGCGTAGTCAGGGACCACTTCCTCGCAGTGTGCCCCACCACTCTCACCGTTGACCTCCTCGAGAAGGCCCTCCTAGCAGCGGAGAAGAGCATAGTCGCTGTAGGAGCCTCTCGTGGTGACCCCCGCACCCCTGTCTTTGAGGGGTGTTCTCCCTCCCCCCTCTTGCCCTCTGTTGCTTCTGCTGCTGCGGCCGACCTCGTTGGTTTTGAGTCGGTCGGCGCTGCGTCTGCCCCTTCGGGGAAGCGCCGCACAGGCAAGGGAAAGGGGGGCAAGGGCGCTGGAGGAGCAAGCGGGGGCGTTGGAGGAGGCGGTGGAGGCGGCAGAGGGGGTGGGGGTGGGAGTGAGGGTGATGGAAGTGGGAGTGGGGGTGGTGGAGGGGGTGGAGGTGCCGGTGGCAGCAGTGGAGGCGGAGGCGGCGGCGGTGGTGGCGAAGGGAGTGGATGCGGCGGTGGTGGCAGAGGCGGCGGAGGCGGCGGAGGCGGCGGAGGTGGCGGTGGAGCTGGTCGAGGTTCTTCGCAGAGGAGTGGCTCATGTGGTGGTCCGCGCTAGCAGCAGCAGCGCAGTTGTGAGGCCCTGTCCCCTCAGCAGCTCCGTGAGTGGTACTGGTCCGTGCACCTACGTCCTGCGCACCGGCGACCGTGCGGGTGAGCAGTGTGGGGGTGCGCACTCCACCCAGCGCTGCTTTGGCTGTCTGACGGACGCGTGGCGTCACCAGTTCCCTGAGGCTACGGAGATCCCTCGCTGGGGCGAGCTGTCGAGGGCGGGGGTTGCTATCTTTGACCTTGACTTTGATGCTATTCTTGCTGCTATGTATGCTGTGACTATTAGTGATGAGGGTGACTATTACCGGTGTTTTCCGCATGACCCGGGCATTGAGACTGCTGCTCTAGATGCTGGTGAGGCTGCTGCTCTTGGTGCTAGCGAGGCTGCTGCTCTAGGTGCTAGTGCGTCTGCTCCCTCAGGTACTGGTGAGTCTGCTCTCTTAGGTACTGCGTCGGCTTCGGCCTCCCTCACCTTCACCCTTGACTCTGGGGCTTCTCGCTCCTTCTTTCGAGACCGCACCACACTCACGCCGCTTGGTCGGCCGGTTGCATTCTCTCTGGTGGACCCCTCTAGGGGTCCTGTCCTTGCTCACTTCTCCACTGTCCTCCCGTGTCCGGCGGCTCCCTCTGGCACCCTGTCTGGTCTCTACCTCCCCTCGTTCTCTACGAACTTGGTGAGTGGTGCTGACCTACAGGATGGGGGAGTGCACCAGTTCACTCCTGCGATCCAGCGGGTGACTCACTGCACTGAGGCTAGTAAGGGCCGACACTTGGCCACGTTTACAAGTCAGTCGGGGTCGAGCCTGTACACACTGACCACTGCGTCTCCTCCTGTCACTGCGTCTGGTCGGGTAGCTGCGTCGGGTCAAGTTTTTGCTGCAGCGTCCAGGTCTGGTCCTGAGTCTGCCCCCTGTTCTTGAGTCTGTCTCTTGTCTCACGAGACTCTCCTCTGGCACCACCGCCTTGGTCACTCCTCTCTGCTTCGTCTCAGAGGCATGGCCTCCCATTTCCTTGTTTTTGGTCTTCCCTGGTCCCTCCCTCCCCTTCCTCAGGGGCCTGGCCCTACCTGTGTCCCCTGTGTTGAGGGGCGGCAGCGGGCTGCCCCTCACTCCTCCCAGTTTCCTCCGACAGAGGCCCCGCTGCAGACGCTTCACATGGACGTGTGGAGCCCAGCCCGCGTCCGTGGACAGGGTCACGAGCGCTACTGTGGTTGACGACTACTCGCGTTACACCACAGTCTTCCCCTTGCGCAGCAAGGGTGATGTCACTGAGGTGCTGATCGACTGGATCCGCGCAGCTCGTCTCCAGCTCAGGCAGAGCTTTGGCTCAGACTTTCCTGTTCTGCATCTGCACTGTGACAGAGGCGGAGAGTTCTCCTCTAGCCTTCTGCGAGCCTACTGTCGTGCACGAGGCATCCGTTAGACCTTCACGCTTCTGGACTCCCCGCAGCAAAATGGGATTGCTGAGCGCCGCATTGGCATGGTCATGGACGTCGCTCATACGTCTATGATGCATGCGGCTGCCCCCCATTTTCTGTGGCCGTTTGCGGTGAGGTAAGCGGCGCATCAAATCAACCTCCACCCCAGGGTCTCCAGGCCGGAGACCTCCCCAGCCTTGCTGTGGACGGGGAAGGTTGGCGATGCGTCGGCGTTCCGGGTCAGGGGATCTCGGGCGTTTGTCCGCGACTTGTCTGCGGACAAGCTGTCCCCTCGTGCTGCTCCTTGCATCTTCCTTGGGTTCCCCCCTGACGCGCCTGGGTGGCAGTTCTACCACCCCACCTCTCGCCGTGTCCTGTCCTCCCAGGACGTCACGTTTGACGAGTCGGTCCCCTACTACCGGCTCTTCCCCTACCGCACTCCGTCCCTCCCCCCGCCCCCGCTCTTCCTTGTACCAGGTCCCCCTCCGGTAGACCCCCTCCCCCCTCAGGGTCCTGCCCCTTCAAGTGTGTCCCAGGTAGACGCGGTCGAGCCTATCGAGGTTACTGGTGACTCTGGTGCTGCTGAGGGTTCTGAGCCTGGGGGTGCTGAGACTGGGGGTGCTGCGCCTGGGGGTGCTGGGCCTGGGGGTGCTGAGCCTAGGGGTGCTGAGACTGGGGATGGTGAGCCTGGGGGTGCTGAGCCTGGGGGTGCTGAGCCTGGGGGAGCTGTGCCTGGGGGTGCTGTGCCTGGGGGTGCTACGCCTGGGGGTGCTTTGCCTGGGGGTGCTACACCTGGGGGTGCTGAGCCTGGGGGTGCTGAGCTTGGAGGTGCTCCGCGTGGAGGTTCTCCGGGTGCTTCGTCTCTACGGGAGCCACTCTCTCCACAGGAGCTGCGCGAGTGGTTTGCCCGGCGCTGGAGTCGTGCTGCTGGTGCTGGAGGTTCTTCGGCTACTGAGGGTGCTGCTGTCGCGGGTCCCAGAGGTGCTCGTACTGGGAGTACTGGAGCTGCTGGGCCTGCGGGTTCGACTGGAGCTGGTGCTGCCGAGGGTGTTGGCGCCGAGCCTACTGCTGGCGGTCCTGCTGGGGGTACTACTGGTGCTACTGGAGGTTCTGGAGCTGCTGGAGGTGCTGCTGGAGCGGGTGCTCCTACTGAGGGTACTGGTGCTGTCCCTGCTGTGTCTGGCGTCGCCGCGCGGCCTCGACCGTACTTCGTTCCACTCCTGCAGTAGGTTCTTGGTCTTCCGCCTTCTACTGGTCCTCCTCCTCCTTCTTTAGAGTGTCCACAGCATGTCCCGTCACAGTTACAGTTGCAGCCTACCTCCCCTTTGCCTGCTCCTTCTCCCTACACTGGTCCTACTGGAGGTCTTGCTGAGCGTCGTGAGCCTGCGTCTCGCCTTGCGTCACCTGTCCGTGCTGCTCGCGCTAGTGGTCGTGGTTCGCGTCAGCGTCCTCCTCCTGTCCCTGGCACGCACAGCATGTCTCTACGTCAGTCCACTGCTCCTCTGCGTGCCCCTTTGCCAGTCCTACTGTCACTCGTCTCATGAGTCCTCTCTTCCTTTTCTTCCCGACCCGGAGTCGGACTCTCTTCGTGCTGCTAGTCCTACTGTCACGCGTCTCCTGGCTACTGTCGTCACTGACCCTTCTTTCGAGTCCACTGCTGCGTCTGCCCTAGTTACTGAGCTCGTCGACTTTGCTGCTCGTTGTCGCCTAGACTACGCTGCTAGTCTTGTCGCTGAGTCTGCGTCTGTCTGTCCTCCGTCCGTCGGGGGTGAGTGTGGCCTTAGCACGTACGTCCTTGAGGACAGGCAGGAGGAGTTCCAGTGTCTGGATGCTGCTTCACCTCATCTCGTGTCCGTACTGCTTACCCTTGAGGGAGACCCGGATGCACTTGACATCCCGACTCCGCGCTCCTACGCGGAGGCGATAGAGGGTCCCTACTCCTCTCAGTGGCAGGCAGCTATGGACACAAAGATGGCTTCCTGGAAGTCCACAGGCACCTACGTTGACGAGGTTCCCCCACCTGGGGCGAACATCGTCAGTGGCATGTGGATCTTCAGGGTGAAGCGACCGCCGGGTTCTCCGCCTGTCTTCAAGGCACATTACGTGGCTCGTGGCTTCAGTCAGCGGCAGGGAGTTGACTACTTTCAGACCTTCTCTCCCACCCCGAAGATTACCACTCTTCAGGTACTGCTGCACGTTGCTGCTCACCGTGACTACGAGCTGCACTCTCTCGACTTCAGCACAGCTTTCTTGCAGGGCAGCCTGCACGAGGAGATCTGGCTGCGCCGCCCACCTGGCTTCACTGGGTCTTTCCCTCCTGGTACCCAGTGGAGTCTCCGGCGTCCAGTCTATGGTCTCCGCCAGGCGCCACGTGAGTGGCACGACACACTGAGGACTACGCTTGCGGCTCTTGGGTTTGCTCCTTCTACTGCCAACCCGTCGCTGTTTCTGCGTACCGACACCTCTCTGCCGCCGTTCTACGTCCTCGTGTACGTCGACGACTTGGTCTTTGCCACAGCTGACATTGCTGGACTCGCCTACGTGAAGTCCGAGCTGCAGAAGAGACACACGTGCACAGACCTGGGTGAACTGCGCAGCTACCTTGGCTTGCAGATCACCCGGGACAAAGCACGCCGCACCATTACCCTGACTCAGTCACACATGCTGCAGCAGGTCCTTCAGCGCTTCGGCTTCACGTACTCCTCGCCTCAGGCCACTCCTCTACCTACTCGCCACTCGCTCTCAGCTCTGCCTTCGGATGAGTCTGTAGAGTTGAGTGGCCCGTATCCAGAGCTTGTTGGCTGCCTCATGTACCTGATGACCTGCACACGACCTGACCTTGCATACCCTCTTAGCATTCTCGCACGCTTTCTTGCTCCTGGGAGACACCGACCAGAGCACATGGATGCAGCGAAGAGGGTGTTGCGCTACTTGTGCAGTACGTCGGGCATGGGGCTAGTGCTTGGAGGGCGCAGTCCAGTGGTCCTCACTGGGCACGCAGACGCTTCTTGGGCTGACGACCAGGCTACGCAGCGGTCGTCACAGGGTTACACCTTCAGCCTTGGTTCCGGCTCTGTCTCGTGGCGGGCTACTCGCTCGTCTTCTGTTCTCGGCTCCAGTTGTGAGGCTGAGATCTACGCTGGGGCCATGGCTGCACAGGAGCTTCGCTGGCTCACCTGCCTGCTGACTGACCTCGGAGAGCCGCCTCGTTCTCCTCCAGTTCTGTACGTAGACAACAAGGCCATGCTGGCCTTGTGTTGAGAGCAGCGACTGGAGCACAGAACAAAGCTCATTGCTCTCTGCTACTTCCTTGCTCATGAGCTACAGCAGCGTGGACAGTTGCGGCTTGCGTACGTGGCCTCTGAGGCCAACACTGCTGATGTTTTCACCAAGGCACTTCCGCCTTGTGATCATCAGCGCTTCTGCACTCAGCTGGGTCTTGTCCCTATCTTGCCTCACTTGCTCACCTCTTGACCTTACTTGTACTGTTACATATATATATACGTGCTCTTGCTTGTCTAGTCTTATATATATATGTAGTCCTGCATGTGAACTGGCCTTGTGGCCTTGAACTTGTGCTCGGAATGTGTGGTGACTTTGTGATCCACCCTGAGCTTGCTTTGCTTTGCTTTGCTTGACTGGTCTTGTGACCCCTTGTTCTCCCCCACTTTGCCTATGTGGGTGTGTCAGAACATTATAGCTTATACATTTGTGTAGGCTGTAATGGGGTAGTCCATAAGGGGTACAACCCAATAAGGGTTAGTACTTGTACCCAACTGTTTCATAGTTCATTCATTCTCGTTTCAGTTTTCTCACGTCGACCACCGACTGTAACTCCCGTGCGAATTCCGTTGACTTCGACACTTCGCTGCCGAGTTTCAAACCGAACGCGACCCGAGATCGATTTCGCCAAACTGTCCCCAATCTGTCCCCAACTGTCCCCAATCTGTCCTGACAAGACACTTTCGGGACACTTGAATCAAAAGGTCTCCAGTTCAAAACTCGTGTGCACCATAACCAGCGCCTTAGCAGAAACTGTCCTGAGTCTGTCCTGAGACACTTTCAGGACAGATTTGAAGGTCTTGAGTTCGAATCCCAGCGCAGATATTTTGTTGCTCATGGCAGCATTTCCTTCTAACAGGATCCGGCGGGTAAAGTGAGAAGCATGATTAATATTGCAAGAGTGCGAGGGTGCAAGAGTGCAATAGTGCAAGAGTGTGAGTGTACAAGTGTGCAAGAGTGTGGTGGCAGCAGATTCACGGGGCGACTTGTGGTGCACTGACCTTGAGTAGTATCAATGAGAACGCCGTAGACATTACACCTAAGTGCCAAGTCTACGACCGGGTAGACCTTCACCGTCTTGGCGGCAATTCTCGCGTCGTCATCCGGCTCGCACGCCTACCCCGGGGCACAGAGTGTGCCGGTGCCATCAGTGCTGCCACAGATGCCACAGGTGAAACTTGGACGCTGAACTGGGCCGGCACTAAAGCACGTTCTGAAGGAGGTAAGGCAGTTGTATTAAAAGTTGCATATAGTCCAGGGGGAGGATGGCACAGAGACCACGAGAGGGTGCCAGAAGGGGCCGCCGGACACGGTAGGACAGTGGAGAAGTGGGCAAGGACAGGACCCCCAGAGGGGTCTGCCAGGGAGACTGCCACTGGCCGACTAAGCGGGGTGAGCGTGGTGCGGTCTCGAAAGAAGGAGAGGGAAGCACCCGAGTCAAGGGTGAAGGTGTGGGTGGCCCGAGCCGACGCGGTACCTGAGAGCGCAGAATCACCAGCACCTGGGGCAGCAGACTCACTGGCACCTAGAGCAGCAGCCTCACCAGCACCTAGAGCAGCAGCCTCAATGCCCGGGTCAGGCGGAAAACACCGGTAACAGTCACCCTCATCACTAATAGTCACAGCATACATTGCAGCAAGAATAACATCATAATCAAGATCAAAGATAGCAACACCCGCCCTAAACAGCTCGCCCCAGCGAGGGATCTCAGTAGCGTCGGGGAACTGGTGACGCCAAGCGTCCGTCAGGCGGCCGAAGCAGCGCTGGGTGGAGTGCGGACCCCCACACTGCTCACCCGTGCGGTCGCAGGTACGTAGAATGTAGGTACAGGGGCCAGCACCCTCACCCCGCTGACGAGCAGTGTACCACTCACAAAGCTGCTGGGGGGACGGGGTCTCACGAGTGCGCTGCTGCTGCTACTGCTGCTGCTGGCGCTGACCACCACCGGAGCCGACCCTCTGCGTAGAGCCACCCTGACCAGCTCCACCTCCGCCGCCGCTACCTCCACCACCACCTCCACCTCCGCCAACTCCGCTTGCACCGCCACCACCGCCGCCTCCTCCGCCTCCACTGCCGCCAATAGCGCCCCCACCCCCGCCACCACTCCCACCGCCACCCCCACCCCCTCCGCCGCCTCCACCGGCGCCTCCACCGCCGCCTCCGCCGCCCCCGCCAGCTCCTCCAGCGCCCTTGCCCCCCTTGCCCTTGCCTGAGCGGCGTCTCCCGCTAGGGGCAGACGCCACGCCGACCGACTCAAGACCAACGAGGTCGGCCGCAGCAGCAGAGGCAACGGAGGGCAAGAGGGGGGAGGGGGAGAACCCCTCAAAGACAGGGGTACGAGGGTCACCACGAGAGGCTCCTACAGCGACCATACCCTTCTCTGCTGCTAGGAGGCGCTCCTCGAGGAGGTCAACGGTGAGAGTGGTGGGGCAAACAGAGAGGAAGTGGTCCCTGACCGAGCGAAGGGTGTAAGGGAGCCGGGTTACTATGTAGTAGAGGGTGATGTATATAGGGGGTGGGTTCTTGGTGCAAAACTCAGCAGGAAGCGCAGCGCGGTAGCGAATGTCACTAGTGCGAAGGTGCGTAACGAGGTCAGCGACTCTGGGAAAAGCGGCGAGGTCAAGGAAGAGGTACGGCAGTATGAGGCGGCTAAGGGCAGCAGTGGCAGGGGAAGAGTAGCATGCAACTACAGCTTCGTACAAGGTCTTAGCACTCTTGTACTGACTAAAATGCGCGCGCTCAGCGGTCGGTAAGTGGCGGCGCACAACAAGGCGGGCAGCAGCATTGGCGTGGCCCACTGTGAGCGAACAGTGGCATCAGCATCAGCAGCAGGGGCAGGAGAGGCACCAGAAGTGAGGTTAAACAGGGAGAGACCGTCTGCCCTATCGCACTATAGGAAGAGCTGCAGATCATCTACCCATACCTCAAAGTCAACAGCCCGACCCTCAGCGTCAAAGGTGAGAACACTAGGGGTAGCCATGACTGCAGTAGACTAGCAGTGAGAGCAGTGGGGTAGTGTCAACGGGAGTTGTGTTTGGCCCCGTCCTCGCTTGGGCGGAGCCGACCGTGGGAGCCGCGAAACCACGGGGGTCCGTGGGAGCCGCGAAACCACGAGGGACTGTGGGAGCCGCGAAGTCACCGGGGGACCGCGGCTGCCACGAAATCGTGGGGGACCGCGGTGGCCACGAAATCGCGGGGGACCGCGGTGGCCACGAAATCGCGGGGGACCGCGGTGGCCACGAAATCGCGGGGGACCGCGGTGGCCACGAAATCGCGGGGGACCGCGGTGGCCACGAAATCGTGGGAGGACCACGATATACCCGGTCAGCCAGGATACCCGGGCGACGCGCGCGAATGTCGTCGGAGTGTTTCTGCAAGTACGATTTCGGGGGTGGTATCCCGAGGTCGACGTGGCTGGTGGGCGCCGTCACGGGTGACGGGTCTGCGCTGGGCGTGTGACAGGGAGTTGGGCGCCAACCAGCAGCATGCACCTGCGAAGCTGGTGCACCATTGTCCCGCGGATGCATCGCTGTGCAGCCGACTTAGTGCAACGCTGGCACACCGCGGACGGGCAACGTTGGCAAGCTGCGACTCTGCTCTGCTGGAGCGCGGTCGACCAAGTCGTGCTGGCACGCGGTCGACCGTGCTGCGCTGGCAGTCGACTAGCAGCCTTGCTAGGTCTGATGTAGTCTGTGTTGCAAATGTTGATGCTAATTATTCTGGACCTTTGTTGTCATGTTTTCCTAGTGAAACTCTTGCCAATTTGCCCCGTGAACTAGCAAGCAATGTTAGCACTTGGAAACAACTAAGGAACCAACGAACGCAGAGATCGCACGAGCTTCCGTGCCTTGCCCGTAGTCTATCTCCCGTTGCACGAGTTATCTCCGCAGGTAGGGCAGTGCAGTAACAGAGGCGCTGCTCTTACTAGGCAGGTGAGGCGGTCCGAGGCAGGCCGGCAGGGACAGGGCCGCGACTGCAGTGACGGCGGCGTCTCGGCTGCGGCTGCAGGGCGGCTCGGCGGCTCAGCGGCTCGGCGGCTCGGCGGCAAAGGCGGCTCGGCGGCAAGGGCGGCTCGGCAGGTCAGCGGCTCGGAGGTGACGGCGACCCGGCTGCTCAGCGGGTGGCCTGCCTGGCGGCTCGGCTGCTCGGCGGGGCCGGGAAGGGCGGCGGAGGGGCCGAGGAAGGGCGGCGACGGGACCGCGGAAAGGGCGGCAGGGCCGCTAAAGGGCGGCGACAGGGCTGCCGAGGGGTGGCGACGTGGTCGCGGGGTCGTGAGGGGCGGCGACAGGGCCGCAAGAGGCGGTCGCGGGGCCTTAAGGGGCGGTCGCGGGGCCGTAAGGGGCGGTCGCGGGGCCGTGAGGGGCGGCGACGGGACGTAAGGGGCGGTCGTGGGGGCTTAAGGGGCGGTCGCGGGGCCGTAAGGGGCGGTCGCGCGGCCGTGAGGGGCGGCGACGGGGCCGTAAGGGGCGGTCGCGGGGCCGTAAGGAGCGGTAGCGGGGCCTTACGGGGCGGTCGCGGGGCCGTAAGGGGCGGTCGCGAGGCCGTGAGGGGCGGCGACGGGGCCGTAAGGGGCGGTCGCGGGGCCGTAAGGGGCGGTCGCGGGGCCTTAAGGGGCGGTCGCGGGGCCGTAAGGGGCGGTCGCGGGGCCGTGAGGGGCGACGACGGGGCCGTAAGGGGCGGTCGCGGGGCCGTAAGGGGCGGCAACGGGGCCGCTAAGGGGCCACGCGGGGCCTAGAGAGGGCAGCGACGGGGCCTGAGGGGCCGCTAAGGAGGGCGCGATGGGTCGCTAAGGGCGGGACACCAGGCGCGCTTCGGGCAGGGGCGGCACGCGCCCCGAGTAGGAAAACAAATCTTGGTGGGCCCTAGGAACAATTCCCACGAGGGAACCTGCTCAATACCATGAGAAACTTAGAACGAGAATGAAAATGACTAAGGAATGAAAGTGATACAAATATGAAACCCTAGAATTGTGTACCCCTTAGTATCTAACCCGCTACAGCCTACACAGGCAAGATCATATATGTTTGACAAGGTGGGGTTGAGGCTCCTCCGCTAGGCTGTCATCGTCCGAGAGCATTACCTTAGAGCGTTTTCTGGTGCCTGCTAGACAATGACAAACCTTCCTCTTCAACTGAGGCACGTCGTCGTCGTCCAGGCGCCAGGGGTCATCGTAGTCGTCTTCTCCTTCGAAGAAGATGGCATTCATGCTAGCATGAGAAGGACCCGCATCCGCATCTACATCTGCATCTACATCTCCACCACTCGTCGTCGTCGATGCCGACTGCAAATACGTCCTCACCAGATGCAATGTCGTCGTGCCTCATCGACCTCGTCGCCTTGGTCCTCGTCGCCTTCCTCCTCGTCACATTTCGCACCTGAGCCGGCGTTAGAGCACCCCGCCATGGATGCCAGCTTGCCGTCTCTTTCGCCACCAGGCGAGTTGATGCGCCCATAGTTGTTAACCAGAATGTAAGGGCGAGGGGACGTCGCCCTACACGGAACTTGCTATGCATGGTGGAGCCAACCGAGAGCAAGGGTTGAGCTAATCTCAACCTCCATGAGCTTGTGAAGAGAAGCAGTAGTCTTAGGAGCCATAGCTAGGAAAGCCCTAGCTAGGCAAGAACAGTTTAGGCAAAAAGAGAGGGTTGCACTAGCAAGAATGAGGATACAAATAGCAAACCCTAGAAGGGTTGTACTCGCTATAGAGCACCCCACTACAGGCTAGAGCATAACATTCTGACACACCCCCATAGCCAAAGTGGAGTGTAATCAGCACAATGAGAAAGCAGGTATAGAGCAGGAGTTTACACAGATAAGCAAAGCTAGAGCTAATCACAACGGACAAGTGAGGAGGAGGAGGAGCTGTGGGGGAGAGAAGATGGGAGGCGACTGCTGACGCTGCAGACACACAGACGAGATGCTGGCTCAGTGGCTACCGGAACAGCGCTCCGGACTACTGGAGTAACTGGCCCCGCGGCTAAAAGTAGCGGCAGACGAGCAACGGACCCACGGGCGACTGGCGACTACCGGAGATTGTAGCCTCCGGACTGCTGCTGGTGCTGACGACAAGACTGCTGCCTCCACTCAACCTCCCCCAACTGCCCCACACTCTCGGCACACGCCCACGGCTCAAACCCTAGCTCCACTCCCACGCACCCCCCTTAAACCATAAACCCCAGTCTCCCACTCATCCACCCCCCTCAGCGACAGTTGCAGCAGTGGGAGACAAAGGAGGAGGAGGAGAAGGGCACGGCGCGCACAATGGACACCCCCACAACCACCACCCCCACACCCTCCACCCCCAAAACCCTAAAACGGGTGGGATAGGGGCAGGAGCGCGGGGGACGGCGACGGGAGGGACGGCGCACGACCCCCAGGGCGCCAAAACGGACAAGCGGGGCGGGGGGGGTGGCGCGCGTGGCTCCCCAGGGCGCCGCGACGGAAGGGCAGGGGGCGGGCGCGGCTCCCCAGGGCACCGCGACGAACGGGCAGGGGGCGGGCGCGGCTCCCCAGGGCGCCGCGACGGACAGGCAGGGGGCGTACGCGGCTCCCCAGGGCGTCGCGACGAGTAGGGCGGGGCCGCGCGTGCGCCCCAGATCGCCGCGACGAGCTGGGCGGGGGGCCGCGCGTG